AGGTAATACAAGGCAAGCTTTGCTGCTCATACTGTTTTCCCAGATTATGTCTGTATTTCTGCCATTTGTCGTTATTATCTAGAAGATCAGTTTTAAAAGTTTGCTTCCTTGCCAGGCACCAGTGCTCATGCCTGTAATCCTTGCTACTCAGGAGGCTGAGATCTGAGGATAGAGATTCAAAGCCAGCCTGGGCAGGAAAGTCCATGAAACTCTTATCTCCAATAAATCACTCAGAAAACTGGAGTGACGCTGTGGCTCAAGTGGTAGAGTGTTCGCCTTGAGCTGAAGAGCTGAGGGGCAGCACCCAGGCCCAGAGTTCAAGCCTCACAACCGACCAAAAAAAAAGTTTGCTTCCTTTGGATGAGGATATTATAGAGCACTATCCATATATCAAGTCTTGTGTCTCTTCTTGGAAAAGAGGACAGAATATTCTCATTTATATTGATGAGTTAGAATATTGTAGACAAAACATTATAGAACAAGAAAAGGCTTTTTTTTTTAATGCTGGTTCTGGGGTTTGAACTCAGGGCGTAGGTGCTGTCCCTGCGCTTTTGTGCTCAAGGCTAATGCTCTACCACTTAAGCCATAGCTCCACTTCTAGATTTTTGGTGATAATTGGAGATGAGAGTTTCACAGACTTTCCTGCCCAAGCTGGCTTCAAAACACAGTCCTCAGATGTCAGCCTCCTGAGTAGCTAGGATTACAGGCGTGAGCCACCAGTCCCTGACAAGAAAAGGCTTTATAGTATGACACAGCAAAGATCAAGGTAAGACAAAGGCTAGGGCCCAACAACATACTGGCTAGTGGCTTCAAGTTCAGATGTACAGGAAGGGACAGTGGTTCAGAGATGCTGTAAAATGCCCTCAGGTGAGAGGAAATCTTAGTGTCGTTATGATTTGCATTTTTATGGCTAAACATTTCTTCATGCCTCTATTTAGTCATTTGTATTTCTTTTTTTTGAGAACTGTCTGTTTAATTCACTTGCCCATTTTGTTAATTGAATTGTTTGTTTGCTGTTTACTTTTTCAAGTTCTTTGTATATCTGGGATATTGATCCTTTTGTGAGTTGAATAGCTGGCAAAGATTTTCTTCCATTTCCTGGGGGTAGACACATTCTTAGTTCTGGTAATCTTTTCTTTTTCTGTGCAGAAACATTAATTTGATGTAGTCCTACTGTTTCTTTGTAATTGGAATTCTATTCAGAAAACAATTAACTGTGCCTACAACTTCCAGAGTTTTACAGATTTATTTATTTTATTTTTTTGGGTCCGGTTGTGGGGCCTGAACTCTGGGCCTGAGTGCTGTCCCTCAGCTCTTCAGCTCAAGGCTAGCACTCTACCACTTGAGCCACAGCACCACTTCCGGCTTTTTTCTTTTTGCTTACGTGGTGCTGAGGAATCGAACCCAGGGCCTCTTGCAAGGCAAGCACTCTACCACTGAGCCACCTTCCCAGCCCCCAGATTTATTTTTTTTGTAGTGGATTTAATGTTTCAAGGCTTTCTAAGTTCTTTGATCCATTTGGAGTCGATGTGTGTATGTGTGTGTGTGTGTGTGTGTGTGTGTGTGTGTGTGTGTAGGTTGTGGGGCTTGAACTCTGGGCTAGCGCACTGCCCCTCAGTTCTTCAGCTCAATGCAAGTGCTCTACCACTTGAGCCGGTTTTCTTTTTCTTTTTTTTATTGTGAAAATAGCGTATGGAGGGGTTACAATTACATGGGCAAAATAATGAGTACATTTCTTATCAAGCATTGTTGCCTCCTCCTTTGTTTCCCCTTCCTATCCCTTTCCACACCCCCCACCCAATCCTCTTCCCCCTCCCGCCCCCCCCACCAAAGTTGTAAACTTTGTTTTTCGACATAACGACTTGTACAGCTCATTGTTGCAATGGGTCCACCTGTATCCCTAATTAAATGATTTGTTTTTTCCCTTTCCCTCCACAAATTATACCAACATCAAATACAGTGAAAGCAGGGGTTATACCATGGGGGAAGGACATACAAAGCAACAAAGAAATACTCTTATAAATATGTTAGAAGCAATCGCATGAAAGAAAAAAACATTTGAATACTTATCTTGGGGTTCATTTCTCTAACATCGACTTATCTGACCTTTCTGTTTGACTTAGACATCTGGTTAGCCAGTTTTCTAGTGGTTAATTGGAGATAAGAGTCATGGACTTTCCTGCCCAGGCTGGCTTTGAACCTCTATCCTAAGATCTCAGCCTCCTGAGTAGCTAGGATTACAGGTAGTAGCCACTGGTGCCCAGCTTGGAGTTGATTTTTGTACAGAGTGAGAGATGGGGTCAGATTTCAGTCTCTTGCAAGTTGAAAACCAGTTTCCCGGGTGCAATTTGTTGAAAAGCCTGTCTGTTTTCTGGCATATGTTTTCGCCTCTTTTTATTAAAAAAATAAGATGGCTGATTTTATTACTGGGTCTTCTATTCTGTTTTATTGTTTTCGTGTCTGTTTTTGTGCCAGTTTGAAGCTGTCAGGTTACTGTGGCTCTGTAGTATAATTTGGTTATTTGGTCTAGTATTATAATACCCTTTTACTCAGAATTCCCTTTTCTATCTGGTGTCTTTTATGGTTCCATATGAACTTTTTTTTTTGTCTTTTCTTTTTTGGTACTGGGGATCGAACCCAGGACGTTGCACTTGCTAGGCAAGTGCTTTGCCACTGAGCTACATCCCAGCCTTCCACATGAACTTTTGGCTTGATTTTTTTTTTTATTTCTGTGATGATAGACATTGGGATTTTGGGTAGTGCGTTGGATCTGTAGATTGCTTCTGGTAGTATGACCATTTTCTTAATAATTTTATGAATCTATTAGCATGGGAGGTCTTTACATTTTCTGGTGTCTTCTTCAGTTTTTCCCCAAAGTTTTCTTTTTTTTATATTCATTTTTGTATGTTTTTACAAAACATACTGTACAGTAGGATTACAGTCACATGAGCAAGATAATGAGCACATTTCCTATCGAGCATTGTTGCCTCCTCCTTTGTTTTTCCCCTATCATCCCTTTCCTCCTATCTCCACAACTACCTCCTCCCTCCTCCCCCCCACCGAAGTTGTAAATTCATCTTCAACATAGTGTCTTGTACATCTCATTGTTACAATGGGTCAACCTGTATCCCTAGTTAAACATTTTGTTTTTTTCGTTCCCCTCCCTTTGTAGGGCTTAGTTAATAACTAAGTATTTTGTTGATTAAGCTTTGAATACTGGTGGTATGTAGCTTACCCCATAACTCTTTAAGTTAGGAATAAAGCTAAATAATATAGGAATTGATTGTGCACCATTGCAAGAGGTATGGACACCTTAGCAGGTGGTAGAAAGGAGAATTCTGAATGAATTCTGCCAATGAAGAGATCCACCTATAACTAGAGGCGTGTGACTTCAGCCAGTAACGTTGAGTCTGAAAAGAACTGGAAATAAGAACTGGAAATATGTATTTTTGACTCATGATTGGTTGAAACCATAGCTATATAGCTCACAGAGAGCTGACTGTACATACAAGCTCAATGTCTTATGTGAAAATATTCACAGAGTTGGGCACTGGTGGCTCATGCCTGTAATCCTAACTACTCAGGAGGCTGAGACCTGAGGATCACGGTTCAATGTCTGCTTGGGAAAGAAAAGTCCCCATGAGGCTCTTATCTCTGATAAACTACTCAAAAAAGCCAGAAGTGGCTGTGGTGGAGTGCTAGCCTTGAACACAAAGAGGCTCAGGGACAGTGCCCCGGCCCTGAGTTCAAGCCCCAGGACCAGAAATAAAGAGCTAAAAGTAGAGCTGTGGCTCAAGTGATAGAGCACTAATCTTCAACAAAACAGCTCAGCGATAGTACACTGGCTCTGAGTTCAATCCGTAGGACCGGCACAAACAATATACTCATAGAAATATGTTTTTTGTTTTTTGGGTTTTTTTGTTTTGTTTTGTTTTAGTTGGCCGTGGGCCTGAACTCTGGGCCTGGGTGCTGTCCCTCAGCTCCTCAGCTCAAGGCTAGTCAAGGCTAGTGCTCTACCACTTGAACCATAGTGCCACTTCTGGCTTTTTCTGCTTATGTGGTACTAAGGAATGGAACCCAGGGCCTCATGCATTCAAGGCAAGCACTCTACCACTGAGCCACCTTCCCAGTCCCATTGAAATGTTTTTTTTTTTTTTTAACATTCTACTTTGGAATAACCTAAATATCTATCAAAAGCAGAATGAACAAAGTATATTGTACCAAACCAGTGAAATATTATGCAGTAATAGACAAAATTCACAATATAGACAAAATCTTCAAACACAAGGAGAAAAGAAGCCAGATGCAAAATAATATATACTACATTCATTCTTCCTCTTACAGACAGTTTGAAACAGGCAGATCTAGTTTGTGGAAATAAAATTTAGACTACTGATTTCTGTCTGTTGAGATAATAGAAGAATAGTATGCAGTTCTTTTCATGAATTCAGCACTAAGCTAGTTAGGTTGCACTAGCCATACTGAGACTGTATTCAACTTTATTTCATCCATTGCAGTGCTGGGGATCTAACCTAGGACCTTGTGTGTACAAGACAAGTTCTTTATCACTGAGTGCGCATCAAGTACTGGTCTTCTCTGTCTTAATCTTAGTAATGCTTACATGAGTATGTTAACTTTGTGAGACCTCACTCAGGATTAGTGGTATGGTCAAGGACAATATGTGGTACTTGCCCCAAAATTATAGAAAATACATGATATCCAAAATATTTGCTTAAATTTTAAAAAGTGTCAGAAACAGTATGTGCAATTGGATACCAACATTGAAAAACATACATATATATATAAATGTAGATTGCCCAGGGTAATAGTAGATATAAATGTAGAAAATCAATATACTGATAGAGTATAAAGATTGAAATTCCATGCACAAAAGTATCAACAGTTGTTATGGCTGGGTAATGAATAACTTACACTTTATCACTTTGTACTTTCCTGGCTTTTCAAACTCCTAAGGTACAAGGCGATGGTGGGAGCAAACCTGCATTCCTCTAAGGAGAGGAGCGTGAAATGCAAGTGAGGGAAAGCATTTCATGAGAAGACAATGTCCCGTCTGAGTGTGGCAGACTGAGAAGGAGACGATGCAAAACCAGATAGAGCAGTGGCCAGCCAGTCGGGAGCTCCCAGCTCTCCACCCAGACTCTCTTTCTACCCTTATCAGGGGACTGGTCAAGTCCTGGGTCTCCTGCTGCCTTTACAACTCAGCTGTCCAGAATCAAAATCATGAAGTGGTTGGTTCTGCAATGGCTGTTATTCCTCTGCTTCTTGATTGTCCCTGTGGGCGGAAGTTGGAAAGGGAGAACTTTTTTCGACCTTGACATCCCTGAGTACCGTAGGTATTTTGCCTGGGCTTTCAAATGAATCATGAATAGAAACTAAAAGGACTTTTTTTTTGGGGGGTGGGTGGGTAGTTTGATTGTAAAGAGGAGCCAGAGGCTAGCTATAAGACAACAATAACAAAAACAAATGATGCAAAAACCTTTATTGGGTCCTTTGTAAGGTTAGGATGTGCAGGAGAAACGAAATGGTTAGATCTCAACTTTTGAGCACCTCCGGATGTTATGAGTAGAACGATGCTTTTATTTATGTATGCTTGGGCCACCGTCAGAAGGCTAGTCAGCTGACAGCTTGCATGGAGGGATGTGAACTCAAGCTACTCGGTGAGAATTATCCGGGTATTTTCCTTGTAAAATAAGGGTGAGGGATGAGATCTCTTAGGACTCTTGGTTCTGGGAATTGGATTTAAGTTCTGGGGATTTAAAGTGAGGTGATTTTATTATCAGAGTTACGGGGAGTGGATCTTTACTCTCAAGAACCAAAGAGACCACTAGGTCCTTGGGCTGGGAGAGGAAGGAGGGAGCTATGTGGAGTGGGTATGTGGGCAAGGGAGGAGCTGATAACAGAAATGTTCTTTTGAGGGCTGCTGTGTGTACACCTTCTGTTCCAGTTATCAGTGGGCCCATACTGGAGCCCTGCAGGAAGAGACCCACGCAGGATCAATGCAAGCCCAACTGCATGAAGCATGAGCACTGTGCCGGCGAGCATCATTGCTGCCATTCCTACTGTGGAAGTGTCTGTATGCCCCGCAAAGAATTCGGTAGGATCTGAAAAGCAACTTTCCCCTCTTCATCCAGTGTGGAAAGACTGTGGCCTAGCCAGAGTCTTCACTCTCCACCCCCACCCCCACCCAAGTCAATCAAACCTTAGGAGGCCTGACATCCCCTCCCACTTGTGCTTCTAGGATGTATTCACAGAACTCTCTCTCTCTCTCTCTCTGGAGGTGCTAAAGTTTAAACTCAGGGTTTGTACTTGCTAGAGAGGAGCTCTACCACTTCTCCCAGTCCATTTTACTCCTTCCTTCCTTCCTTCCTTCTTTCCTTCCTTGCTTTCTTTCATAGGGTCTTGTTCTTTGCTTGGACTGGCCTGGAATACCATTCTATTTACACTTCCTGGTCTAGCTGGCATGAGAGCTAGATGCTACACCCGGTTTTTTCCTGTAGAGATGGGGCTGTGAGAACTTTTTTGTCCAGTTGGCTGGTCAAACTGTCAGTTCCTTTTCAGCCTCCTGATCTCATCCTCCTGAGCAGCTGGGATGACGAGCTCATGCCGCTGCATTGTGTGGTCATTTTTAAGCCACAGAAATTATCCCCCAAGTGTAGGGAGCCTGGTTTAAAAGCCCTCTCTGTGACTAAATCCCTATCCCTTTTCTTTTTCCAGAGAAAGACAAATAACATAAAATCAGCAACATCATGCTCAGCGCTGGACCTTAACCCCACAATGAGAGCTGGAGGACACATGGAATGTTTGGGAAGACCACTACATGACTTCCTGTGGAACCATCTTTTTGCCCTAGGTGGGAGTTGGGAGTTGGAGACATGTACCCAGGACAATGTCTCTCTTTCCTCTCTCTCCTCTTCTTTTAGCTAGCACAGTCATAGTCTTAGGTCCTTGCCAAATATGTAGAGTAATCAAGGGTTTCCATTTCTTGTTTCTTGGTCCCAGAACTATTTGCTGCCCCAACTATTTGTTTTCAGCCTCCCTTCCTCCTAGTTTGGATCTCTCTACCTTCCTAGCTTTCAGAGGTTTGGTCTTTTTTAAAACCAAGGACTTAATTAATGTCCTATATATGATATGGTATGTTCTTTTGGTGATTGAAGCTATGTTCTCTCTGTGTTTCCTCATATCTGGATTTAGTTTTTCTCACATAACGTCAGACTTGTCATCCAAGTAGGTCCCCCACAAGCTACTTCTTATTGCAACTAATGTCTGGAAATAAAATCTTGCATAAAGCGGATGGCACCCATGGTCTATCATGGAAGGAGATGGCATAGCCTCTTTCACCATGTCCTTTGCTCAGCAATGACTAATGTATTACTGTCTTTATTCAGTTATTTGGGATTTAGCAAAGTCTTTTCTATGTAAGTATTGTGGGAAGAACAAACACCCTTCAGAGGGCTATAAAACACCCAGATTATGGGCAAAAGCTACTTCACACGCGAGAGTTTATCACTGTTTATCTTGCTGGTACAGAGACCAAGGAAGAGTTAATTCAAATGACCCAAACAAATGGAAGCCAGGGAGGGGCACGAGGAGAAGGGACAAAGGATACAGATAATACCTTGATGTATGAAGGAGGGGATGGTTAGATGGGCTGCACATCAGAGTGGTTTTCCTGGAACAAGACATACTTGGTCCTACCCTGAAAGATGAGAAGGAATTGCTATACCTCAGGGTGAAAATGATGTCTTCTTTCCTGGTGGGATTAGACAAAATGAGGGAAGGAAAAGGCCAATCTGAATGTAATGAAAGGCTGATACCCTATCCCACTACACAACAATAATTGAAGCCACTGATAAGATTGATCATGAACTTGGGTCTAAGCTCTAGATTGTAGTACATGCTGATGTGCTAAGCAAAATCATTCATTATAGTGCTAGAATATGGTTTTGTTAAAAATAGCAAAGGAGAGAATGAATAGACACAGATTGGTAGTTGAACTTCCCCAAATTCACTCGGCACACTGAGTGAGCATACAGAGCTTTTTCTCTAACCATGTATGTACAGTAGTGTTTGAGTTGTCTGAAATATGTGTATCTCAGGGGTCAGAGATAGGTTTAAAATACAGATTTGGAAAACAACATTGAGATATCACCTCACTCCAGTTAGATCGGCAAAAATCAAGAACTCTAATAACAACAGATGCTGGAGGGGATGTGGACAGAAAGGAACCTTACTTCATTGTTGGTGGGAATGTAAACTTGTTCAACCACTTTGGAAAGCAGTATGGAGGTTCCTCAAAAGACTTCACATAGAGCTCCCCTATGACCCAGAAATCCCACTTTTGGGCATTTACCCTAATGTTTACAAACAAGACCACACTAAAGCTACCAGCACAACTATGTTTATTGCAGCATTATTTACCATAGCTAAGATATGGAACCAACCCAGATGCCCCTCAGTAGATGAATGGATCAAGAAAATGTGGTATATATACACAATGGAATTCTATGCCTCCATCAGAAAGAATGACATTGCCCCATTTGTTAGGAAATGGAAAGGCTTGGAAAAAATTATATTAAGTGAAGTAAGCCAGGCCCAAAGAAACATAGGTCCCATGGTTTCCCTTATTTGCAATATATAGTATATGTATGAGTCAAGCGGAAAAGGTCAGATAATGTGATGTCAGGAAAATGAATCCTTAGATGTGTATTTTATTGTTTTTTTTCTTTCATGCATGTGTTTCTAACGCATTTATAAGATTATCTCTTTGTTGCTTTGTATATCCCTCCCCCACAGTATAACCCCTGCTTTCACTATATTTGATGTCAGTGTAACTTGTGGAGGAGATGGGGAAAAACCAGTTGTTTAAGGATACAGGTGGACCTGTTGCAACAATGAGAAGTACAACTAGCTTTACAACGTCGGTGCTGGGGGGGGGGGGGGGAGGGGGGGGAGGAGAAGGATTGGGATTGGGGGGGAGGGGGGAGGCTGGGAAGGGATGTGAAGGGTAAACAAAGGAGGAGGCTGCAATGCTTGGTAAGAAATGTACGCATTATCCTGCCCACGTAATTGTAACTCCTCTGTACAGTATGTTCACAAATAAAATTAAATTAAATTAAAAAAAAAAGACTTTAAAAAAAAATAAAATACAGATTTGGGTGGGGAAGAGTATTATGGAGGAGCACTGGGCAGAAAGAGTGCTAACATGGCCTTTGAGAATAAATGGTTAGGGCACTGGAGTGGAAATGACCTCTCATTTGCCCCCTGGGTACACAAAGGTACACCCAGAGCCTTTGTTTCCGGTTGTCTTGCTTCACAGCCTGGAGTTAGTCTTCTCTGGAAGCTTCAAAAGTGGCAGGAGATTGATCTTTAAAGGCATGGGCTGAGATCCTCCAGGGGTCTTATTTTGCTTTTACTGGAAGGATTGGTCCAAAGTAAACCGACATAGAAGTTTGATCAAAGTTAAGCAATTTCAGCCACAGAATAAGAAGACAAAAAAAATCAGCAATCATAGACCAGATTTCACAACACAAATAAAACGGTGACTTATCAACATGGGTAGAAAGTATTCAGAAGTACTGTCAAGTTTAAGTTGCAGTATAATTAAGCTAGAAATAAAGTAGCTAGAAAAAAATTTATGTGATTAGAAATTAAAACACCATGGGGGGGCTGGGAAGGTGGCTCAGTGGTAGAGTGCTTGCCTTGCATGCATGAGGCCCTGGGTTAGATTCCTCAGCACCACATAAGCAAAAAGAAAAAAGCTGGAAGTGGCGCTGTGGCTCAAGTGGTAAAGCGCTAGCCTTGAGCTGAAGGGCTGAGGGACAGAGCCCAGGCCCAGAGTTCAGGCCCCACGACTGGACCCCCCCCCCAAAAAAAAACCACTAAGGAATCACAAATCAAAGATGAAATTATAAGGGAAATATTTTTAAGTGAAAAATAAAACTGGGAGTTACAAAACATGTAGATATGAGGCAGGCTCAGGGACACATGCACATAATTCCATTGCTGGGGAAGTAGAAGCAGGAGAATCATGAGTTCAAGGCTAACATGGGCAATATAAGTGAGCTCAAGGCCCACCTGGGCTACATGGCAAGACTCTATCTCAAAATCAACTAACCAACCCAAACTCACAAAAACAATGGATAATATCTAAAACTAGAGTAAGAGCTCTAGCCTTACTAATACGCACTTTTAAAGAGAATAAATCCCCCCCAATAAATGATTTTACCTTTTATCTAAAAAATTAGAGAAGTAATGTTAAATAAAATAGAAAGACTAAGATTAGAACTGAAAGTAATAAGTAGGAATAAACACAAAATATGGAAGATTAACAAAGCCCAAATTTGGTTCTGGAATACTCTAATGAAACCAACGACTCTTAATGATTCAGTAAACGTGGGAATCAGAAATAACAGATAATCAACCTGACCTCATAGCAATAAAAACCATTTGGATTACCCACCAGCTGCACTGGATATTGATGAAAACGAACTAAGCAACTCAAGGGCAGCGATGGGAGGGAGGGAATGAGAGGGAAAGAGGGAACAGCTGACACTAAACAAACGGAAAGAGATGGACATATCACCCGATGCAGAAAAAATAGTTATGTTGTCAAAGCTCATAGAATTCACAAACTTTATAGACCACGATAATGACAATTGTGAAGGTTAAAATGTGTTTGTGACTTTAACTAAGTATCACTATCCCACAATACTGTGAAATTTATGTAATTAATCTCAATAAAATTATTAAAAATTTTTGGATTAAAAAAAAAGAAACGTGCCTGGCAATCGTGACACACGCCTATAATCCTAGCTACTTAGGAGGCTGAGATCTGCATCAACAGAGCCGAGGACTACAGAAACCATGAAAACCTTGGAAACCATGAGCAGAAATAAGTAATTCTTCCATTTGAGGCATTTGCTCCAGTGGAGTATTTTTGCACGTTACAGAAAGTTAACTAACACAACAGTCTGGAGGTTCTGGTTTTGCTAAGGGGGAAAAATAGTGACAAGTACATCTACTCCATTTCCAGAACTCTCTGTTCTTTATGGTAGGTGAAAAATAACACAACTTAGAAGAAAGATAGGAAGGGCTGGAGGTATGGCCTGAGTGATAGGCCCTGAGTTCAAATACCAATCATATCCCCTCTTGCCCCTAAAAAAGGAAAAGGTAGGAGGAAAATCTCATCTTTTTAGCATTGGAGAGAACTTCTTAAGCAAGAAATGCAAAAATCCTAAAGGAAAACTATGGCTAGTATTGGTTACATAAGTTCTGGAATCTCCTAGATCAAAGCACATGCTAAATAAACATCAAAGGATATCTGAAGGGTTCATTTGCACACCAGGTTTGCCATCAGATCAGTTGTGATGAAAACCACCACTACACGGAAACCAAAAATGGAAAAGGAAAAGGCTTATACTAACATTTTGGTTATTGGACATGTAGATTCAAGCAAATCTACCATTACTGGCTGTCCAGTCTACAGATGTAGTGAGATCATCATCATCATCAAGAACAATAACAAAAACCATTGAAAACTTAGAGGAGCTCCTGAGATGGGAAAGCTTTCTTTCAAGTATGCCTGGGTCTTGGATAACCTCAAAGCTGAGCATGAATGCAGTTTCACTATTGACAGCTCCCTGAAAATTTGAGACCAACAAATCTTATGTGATTGATGGAAAAAAGGACTTAACCTAAAGCTCCCCTTCCCCCCCTCCCGCCCCCCCCCCCCCGCCCAGCTGCTGCCACCTGACAGCTGTAGCTTAGAACTGTCCTTGCTGCTGAACTCACTGAAGAATCATCTTCCCTCCCCGTCCCCTTGAACAATGTACCACCAGTGGTCTTGGGAGAGAGCCTGAGACCAAGGCCCATTAGATGCCAATGCCCCTGATGAACACAGAGGCTATTGAGACCTTGAGACTCCTCAGTCAAAATAGCATTGCTCATCCACCCTGTCTCCATCTCACCCCATTTCCATCTGCCCCCCTCCACTTCACTGTTCTGCCTAATATTTAAAGATCCCTAGTTGTAAGGGGGGTGCTCCATTTCCTCTTCAGCCATGCTGAAGGAGACTTGGCTGCCCTTCCCAGGCTTCATTCCTGAATAACGCCTCTTGGTCTGAGTTCACTTTCTGCCCTATCTTTGTTCTGATACCCTCGTGACTCAGTTTCCTTATAGTGATAGTCCTTGGTGCCCCAGAACACAGAATTTTTAAATTCATCTCTGGTCATGTTGAGAGTTCTTGACAGTCTTTTCTCAACCACTGAAAGGTTAAAAGGGGAAAATTTTTGGAAGATTTAAGGTGATTGAGAAACATGTTATGGAAATGTGTGTGGAGTACTTCACACTGGACGTTTACCTACTTCCTTGCTTCAATATGAGGGTACGCAGCAAACTAGGAGTCATTTGGAAACAAAATGCTCTGGAGGAAGCTTGTTTACTTACTCTACTTGAGCTTAGGGCAAGGTATATTAGAGAGACCTATAGAGCTAGCTGTTCTCCTCATGGTCTTCTGCCCAGGCTACAGGCACATTCCTGGTTAACTGGCCATGCAGTGAAATGTACCATGTCCCTGGAATGAAGAGCGGTGTGAACAAGAAGCTCTCAGCCGTGGAAACAGGGTAGAAAGCTGGGTGCTTCCTGCGTGAGAGCCAAAGTGGGTGGTACTAGAGTGAGAGTAGGGTCTCGCCTGTAGTTCTTCATGGTCGGAACCTGGAAGTTGACACTGGCTTTCCCTTTCCTGGCCATATTTAGACCTTTCAGTCACAAAATGCTCCTCGGTTTGCTACCAAGAGCAACCACTGTCATTTGGAAAAGCTGGGGAAAATGGTAGGTTGCTGGTAGTATGGATATTTGAACAATATGAAGTCTTTCAATCCATGAACATGGGATATCTTTCCATTTACTTGAACCTTCTTCAATGCTTTTCATCAGTGTTTGATAGTTTTTATTGTATAGATTTTTTTCTACCTTGGTTATAGTTGCTGACGGATATATTTGAATGCTAATTAAATTAGTTTTTAAAATTTTCTTTTATAGATTTTTTAAGGTGTAGAAATGCAGCTGATTTATTCATGTTGATTTTGTATCCTGTAACTTTACTGAATTCATCTATTAGTTCTAACAGGCTTTTGAAGTAATCTTTTTTTTTGGTCGGTCATGGGGCTTGAACTTAGGGCCTGGGCGCTGTCCCTCAGCTCTTCAGCTTGAGGCTAGCGCTCTACCACTTAAGCCACAGCGCCACTTCCTTTTGAAGTAATCTTTAAGGCTTTCTATATAAGGATTACATCAACAAACTGGTTATTTCGTTCTTTCTTAAAGAACTCATTTATTTATTTAATTATTTATTTTTGCCTAATCGACACAGGACTTTCATGCTAAGAAAATAGATGAAGGAACAATGTCTATGTGCCTCTGATCATATAAGATAACATTTATTGAAATGAACTAAAAGAAAATGAATGAGACCAAAAAGCCAGAAATGGAGCTGTGTCTCAAGTGGCAGAGAACTAGCCTGGAGCAAAAAAGCTCAGGGACAGTGCCTGACCCGGAGTTCAAGCTCTTGAACTGGCATAAGATAAGGATGAGAATGGGCATCTTTTTTCTTTTACTAATCAGTGAGGAAAAGCTTGCATTTTTCTCTCTTATGGGTATAATGTTAGCTATAGGTTGAGATAAGACCTTTAATTGTCTTGAGGTAATTCCTTCTAAATCTAATTCATTGAGTTAAAAAAAAACTCTTTATTTAACATGTGTATTACGGAAAACATATACAAGCAAGGAACAAAGTATTAATGCCAAAAGGAGTTCAGTCGGACATGACTGTCTCAATTCTCCATGCAGAGATTTTTTTTTGGTTTTTTTTTTTTTTGGTTTTTTGGTCCGGTCGTGAGGCCGAAACTCTGGGCCTGGGCGCTGTCCCTCAGCTCTTCAGCTAAAGGCTAGTGCTCTACCACTTGGGCCACAGCGCCACTTCTGGCTTTTTTCTTTTTGCTTATGCTGAGGAATTGAACCCAGGGCCTCAGGCATGCAAGGCAAGCGCTCTACCACTGAGCCACCTTCCCAACCCCCCAGAGATTTTTTTTAATCATGAAAAGGTATTGAATTTTGTAAAATGCCTTTTCTCCATCTGTTGAGATGATCATATGGGCTTTTTTGTCCATAATTCTGTTAGTTTTTTGGGGGGGAGGGTGGGCATCGGTCATGGGGCTTGAACTCTGGACTTGGGTGCTGTTCTCAGCTCTTCAGCTCAAGGCGAACACTCTACCACTTGAGTTACAGTACCATTTCCAGTTTTCTGGTGGCTTATTGGAGATAAGAGTCTCATGGACTTTCCTGCCCGGGCTGGCTTTGAACCCCGATCCTGAGATCTCAGCCTCCTGAGTAGCTAAGATTACAGGGGTGAGTCACTGGCGCCCAGCTAATTCTGTTAATATTGTCTGTCATACTTATTGGTGTGCTTAATATGAACCACCTTTGTATCCAGGGCAAAAGTCCTACCTTATCATGGTGAATAACACCTTTTCAAATTAATATTTATTTTTATATTAACTAATAGAATCTTTATGGAGTACAGCCTTATAATTTGGTATATTTATATAAGGTATGATGATAAAATCAGGGCAAACAGCATTTCCATCACTTTGAATATTATTATATCTATGTGTTACAATCTTGTAAACTCTTCCTTGGTTGTTATTTGAAATGCAGAATTCATTTCAGACATTAGTTAACCTACTATATTAGAGCCACTTTTCCTCCAACTGTAATTTGGTCTCATTATCCCCTCTTCTTCTAGTCTCCTTCCCTTTTGCCCTTTCCTTTCTCTACTGACCTCTATTCCACTCTGCATTTTCATGAGATCAACTTTTTAAGCTTCCACAAATGAAAAAGTACAAGTAGTATTTGCCTTTCTGTGTTTGGATTACTCTACTTAACATAATATCCTTCAGTTCCAGCTGTGTTGCCATAAATGACAGTATTTTATACTTTTTATGTCTGAATAATATTTGGTTGTATATATATTCCCATTTTTAAAAAGCCATTCTTCTACCCATGGACTCTTGATTTCATAACTTGGCTTTGCAAATACTGCCACAATAAACATGGATACAGGTATCTCTTCAATGCAACAATTTCATTGCCTTTGGCTACATATCCAGTAATGAGATTGCTAGATCATATGTATTTGCCCCCTATGCACCCGTGTCTTATAGGATCTTGCCCAATTAAACTTCCCTCCTACCAAAACAGATCAGTCTGTGCTAAAGTTGCTAGATTTAACAAATATAAAATACATGACTAGGGCTGGGAATGTGGCTTAGTGGTAGAATGCTTGCCTAGCATGCATGAAGCCTTGGGTTCAATTCCTCAGTACCACATAAACAGAAAAAAATGGAAGTGGTGCTGTGGCCCAAATGGTAGAGTGCTAGTCTTGAACAAGAGCAACTTAGGGACAGTGCCCAGGTCCTGAGTTCAAGCCACAGACTGACAAAAATAATACATGATGAAGAGCTAAATTGGAATGTCAACTAAACAACAAATAATTTTAGTATAACTGTCACTTGCATTGCATTAGGAAATCCATAAGCAAAATTATAACTGAACATCCTTTATTTTCTGTATTTCTTCCTCCATGCCCATCCCAGAAACTCTGATTTCTACTAAGACTTTCTGATTATTGTTTTGGGCCGTAGGCTAATTCAATCAACTAATTTTCAAGACTCCAGTTAATAGATATAACTATGTTAAATTTTAAGCCAAAAGGCTGGCCTGATCAAATAAATTTAAAGTACTGTAGGACCTTTAATCTTTTAGGGGAATTGAAGTAATGACATATACCACCTCTGACTGTAGACTCAATAGTTAAAGGGTAATAGGCACTTATGGATACATTCACTAAGAGTCTTACAATAGATGGTATCGGAGAAATGACTTTGTTAACTCAAGGTCATTCATCCGTGATCCTATTTGCTTCTTAGGAAACCAAGAGCTGATATGGTCTATGTGGGACCTCCAGAGAAAAACTCATAGGATCTGTTTCATCAGTAAAGCACTGAAAAGGTATACATTAGCAGCTGGGATTGCCCCAGGAATGATTGCAAGCAAAATAACCCTGCCCTGGTTCCAAACAAACCCCTGTTATCATTCAAGTATGGTCGCTTAGTCCAGAGTGCAGTAATGGGCGAGTGTTTCAGAAGGCAAACAGAGAGCCAAGACAGCGTATAAAGCCCCTGGGGAAGCCTGGTAATACATTTCCTCCACCTGTCACTCAACCTCAACAAACCCTTCCTTTGTCTAGATCTCAGTTTTCTCATTCATGAAGTAACAGGACTTGGGAGAATCCTCTGGAAAGCTCTTTGTTTTTTGAAAAAAAAAAAAAGTATTGTTATTTTTATTGTTATTGTAGAGTTGATATACAGAGGGGTTACATTTACATGAATCAGGTAATGAGGTAATGAATCAGGTAATTCTTTTTGAACCATTGTCTCCTCTTCCCTCGCTCTCTCTCTGTTTTTCCCTCCCATCCCTCCCACAAGATGTACAGTTCATTTTCCACATAGTGCCTAGTGAGTACCACTGTTGTATTTTTTCATCCTTTGTTCTACCTTTTCTGTGACCACCCCCAACCTTAACCTTCCAGATACAAGCTAACCACCAGCATAACCATGTTCACCGTAGCATTGTTTACCATAGCCAAGCTATGGAATCAACTCAGATGCCCCTCAGTGGATGAATGGATCAGGAAAATGTGGTTATATAGACACAATGGAATTCTACTTATCCATCAGAAAGAATGATATTGCACCATTCGTAAGGAAGTAGAAAGACTTGGAGAAAATTATAGGAAGCAAAGTAAGCCAGAGCTAAAGTAACACAGGTTGCATGGTTTTCCTCATTTGTGGTAACTAGAATGTGCCTACAAATCTGGAAGGCTCTTCTGCACATGCTATATTCCTTCTCTGGATTGTGTGTTCCCCTGCCCCATCTTGTTCTCTTCCTCTCCACAGCTCCGCCTTTTCCTGGAGGAACAGAGCTCTCCTGCTGCTTTTCTCCCTCTCTTTGGAGCAGACATCAGCATCACAGAGCAACAAAATCCAACGTGGGTTCCAAAAGGCTCTGGCCTTTCTGTTTTGAGAGGCTGTCTTGAGAACAGAGACGTAGACACGAGGCAGCGGCTGGTGCTGTTTGAGGCCTCTGCTGCTGGCTGGATTCAAAGACATAGAAAACTACCCTTGTTCACCATTTCCCCCTTGCTTGTCCCTCCCAACTACTTATCAGTTTCCTGGTTTATTGTTTTAATATTGATAAGTCACTGGGAATGAGCCTGAGAGACAAGATGTGTGAGAACCATAGTATAATAGTTGAGAGGAGAGATGGGATGAGGTCAGGCGCTATAAAGTAACAGTAAAGAGGGAGAGAAGATGGATTTGGGGAGAGATTTAGGAGATAGAATTGATCAAAATCCTTGATGAACAGCATGCTGGGGTTCATGAAGAAAAGGGAATGAATCTCTGGATTTTAACAACACTGAAAACATTGGTGCCAAAGGTGAAGATTGGGAACAGAGTATAAGCAGGTCTGATTTAGGCCAGGAGTGACACCGTTCTGTTTTAAACAGGGATAATGAGATACCTGAATTTTTTTTTTTTTTGTTTCTCAGGCAGTTGGAAATAAGGATTATTTTTTTTAGCTTGGAATAGAGGGTAGGTTTGGAAGAAAATGTGGGAATCAGAGCTGGGATTGTGGGAATAGATGAGACCTCCCTGTATGCTCAGTAATGCTGGGAGAGACCAGAACTCTGAAAGTGTCCCCAGGAATCCCTCTGGGTATGTGTACCAGGGAAAAGACTATATATAAGGTAAGTGGCTATGACCACGTGGCCAGGCTACAAGGAGGGTTCTAATTAAGACTGTCTTTGTCATAGCATCCAATTCATTCTTCTGAACTATTCTCTTTTCAAAGAACAGAGAATTATAACACAGTTGAAGGAAGATATGTTCCCATGATTATCTACCTGGTTAATATTGGAGGTAGGCTGCTAAGTCAGATCTGTCTGGCAAATATGATTCTACCCCACCATTTCCTCCGCTCTTAGAGGCAACTCAAAAGTTACACAGTTAAACTCAGACTGCAATCACAAAGAAGTTAAGGACCAATGTTGAGTCTTGATTTCTGTTTCTATGATGTTTCCACTACTTCTTAGTCCCCTTTGGACAAAGTAGCTAGAGGCAGAGAAGTTAAGGATTAAAAATACTAGCTTTTTGCTGGTCACTGGTGGCTCACACCTATTGTAATCCTAGATTCTCAGGAGGCTGAGATCTGAGGATTGTGCTTTGAAGCCAGCCCAGGCAGGAAAGTCCATGAGATGATCTTCTTCGTCTCCTCTCCGTCTCCGTCTTCGTATCCATCTTCATCTTCATCTTCTTCTTCTCTTTTGGTTGGTTGTTGGGGCTTGAACTCTGGGCCTGGGCATTGTCCCTCAGCTTTACAGCTCAAGGCGAGTGCTTTATTACCTGAGCCACAGTGCCACTTCTGGTTTTCTGGTGGTTAATTGGAGATAAGAGTCTCACAGATTTTCTTTCCCCGGGCTGGTTTTGAATTGCTATTCTCAGATCTCAGCTTCCTGAGTAGCTAGGATTATAGACTCCATGAGATTCTTAACTCAAATAAACTACTCAGAAAAAACCAGAAGTGGCTCTGTGACTCAAGTGGTAAAGCACTAGTCTTGAGCACAAAGAGGCTCACAGACAGCACTCAGGCCCTGAGTTCAAGCACCAGGACTGGCAAAATAAAAAATAATATAAAATAAAATACTAGCTTTCAAGAAAAGAATGCCTCAACTTAAGGCAGGGTCTTGTTCTCTACCTTATTTCATGCCTTGGAGTCTAAGGTACATTTCTGTTTAGTTTTGTTTGGGACAAGAGGTTGTTGACTTATCTTTTTCATTAGAATACAGCAATGGCACAAAGGTAAGGGTTTTGTTTTTGAGACAGGGTTTTACTATATTGCCCAGGTAGACCTTGAACTTGCAACCCTCTTGCCTCAGCCTCCTAAATCTTACATTTATAAGAGTATACCACTACATTAAACCCAAGATACTTTCCCTTTAGTCATATCTGAGCACAGATTTCTTGGTTCAGATCTATCTAGATAGGCCAAGAGTGTTAAGGAACAGATTTGGCCCCTAAATATATTGCAGAATAAGAACTGAGAATTGAAGGTACAGGATGATGGGGTTGAGAGATGTGATCTATTCACCTTTGCCAGGGGAGAAAAGTCAAAGTTCTCGAGGTATGTGTTTGTCCAAACATTTCTTTCTTGCAGAGAAAGCAGGAAAGTGCCCCAAAGAGAGGTTCCAGTGCAGAACGAAAATTGTGGATCTGTGCAAGACAGATTACAACTGCAAAGCCTACCTGAAGTGCTGCCCTTTTGCCTGTGGGAAAAAGTGCATGGATCCGTTTGTGGGTAATATCATCTGGGCTGAAGGCGACGTTGCTCTCGGGGCTTTCCACTTCTTTACCCACAACTGACCCACCCAGAACCAGGGAAAGCAGGACAAACAGGCCAGATTTCATGCTTTTCTCATTATCTGATTTAATTCTCCACCCTCAAGTATAAATCCTGAGTCATGACCCGGTGCAAAATCAGCCAGATGTTGGTCTTCTTTAGTCCAACATGCATTCATTCACAAATAACTAATACCTTTTTTTGTTTTTGGTCCAGTCATGGGGCCTGAACTCTGGGCCCAGGTGCTGTCCCTCAGCTCTGCAGCTGAAGGCTAGCGCTCTACCACTTGAGCCATAGCGCCACTTCTGGCTTTTTTCTTTTTGCTTATGTGGTGCTAAGGAATGGAACCCAGGGCCTCAGACATGCAAGGCAAGCTCTCTAATACTGAGCCATCTTCCCAGCCCCCAACTAATACCTTTTGTATGTTCATGACAACACGTCGGGAGACTATCATTAGCACTGTGATTAAAAAAAAAAATCAAACTCAGTCAGCTGAGATGTTGGATCATTTTTTTACTCTTTGATCTTTAAGGAGTTTTTTTTCCCCCTTGCTTAGTATTTAGCATCTATTATATATAGGAAACTGTGCCTTCCGTAGTGATTCATTTCTTCAGTTATTTCTTCCACAAATATCTATTGTCAGTGACCTTTGGGCAAAGTCTACGAGGAACACATTTTTAGGTGGACACGTTGAATTTAACCCATTACAGTGCAAGGCTCTACTGTAGGCCACTGTGAGGCCTTGCTGTAGGAATTTATTGTAGCATTTGGGCTTGGGTTGGATAATTTGGAGGGGATCCACAGAAATGGGGGGGGGGTTGCCTTGGATTAGGCATTTTCAGAAAATGGAGCACTTCTTTTTTTTTTTTTTGACCAGTCCTGGGACTTGAACTCCACTATCCGTGAGTTTCTTTTTCTCAAAGCTAACACTCTACCACTTGAGCCACAGTGCCACTTCCAGCTTCTTCTGTTTATGTGGTAATGAAGAATCATACCCAGGGCTTCACGCAGGCTAGGCAAGAACTCTATCACTGAGCCACAGTCCCAGCCCCAATGGGGCAATTCTTTGGCTCAGTAGTTGAATCTTCTCTGTAGGAAGAGCAGCTAGAATGAGGCTAGAGCTGTAATTGTTAATAAAGTGAAAGTCACTCGTGTTAGCCGGTAGAAGGAGGTGTTTGCTATTTTATTGTTTCAGGGTTAATTTTTGTCTCACTTTATTACAGCATTAGAGTGGCCTTGAACAATGCTGGTGTCCTATGAGAACTTTTATGTCCAACAGACAAACAGCAGACCTCGGCTATGTCAGGTCAGCTTTTGGACAGGAGAGGTTGTGTCTTTGCTGTCATTGTGCCAACTACTTTGTTAAGCACTGTGGATACAGTTGTTGACAGGTCTGGTTCTCTCAACACTCAGTCTTGGAGAAGAAAGATAAACCCCAAAGTACTTTCCCATGCTCTTCATAATACCTTTTGTAAGAAAGCAAGTGATGCTTATAACATCAGACCCATGGCATACACATGCAGTCTCAGCACTGGGGAGGCTGGGGCAGAAAGATCATGAATCTGAGGACAGCCTGCTTGACATAGTAAATCTCAGGCTAGCTTTGACCACTTAGTGAGACTCTGTCTCAAGAACAAAACAAAAACCAATGAAATTCAGAAGTGTTCCCTGTATAGATAAGACTAGAACCTTTGTCTTATTTTTCTTTTCTTGACTGTGGCTCTTTCTGTGACTTGGCCAATGGCATTGTGAATTATGACAAAGACTAAGAATCCAGGAACCTTTTTTTTTTTTTCTTTTGGGTGCCTGTCTTGGGGCTTGAACTCAGAGCCTGAGCTCTGTCCCTGAGCTTCTCTTTAGAACTCTACCACCTGAGCCACTTTCCGCTTTTGTTTCTGTGTCTTATTGGAGGTAAGAGTCATAGGGACTTTCCTGCTTTGCCTTGGTTCTAACCAAGATCTTCAGATCTTGGATTCCTGAGTAGCTAGGATTATAGGCGTGAGCTACCGGCATTTGCCTAAAGGCTTGGAAGTCTTTTTTTTGTTTTGTTTTGTTTTGTTTTGTTTTTTTTGGGGGGGGGGTGTCTGGTCATGGGGCCTGAACTCTGGGCCTGGACGCTGTCCCTCAGCTCTTCAGCTCAAGGCTAGCGCTCTACCACTTGAGCCACAGCACCACTTCTGGCTTTTTTCTTTTTGCTTATGTGGTGCTGAGGAATTGAATCCAGGGCCTCATGCATGCAAAGCAAGTGCTCTACCACTGAGCCACCTTCCCAGCCCAAGCTTGGGAGTCTTTTATCACTAACTTTTATGTTCTTCTCTCTTTGTTTCTTGCCATCAGAACCCTGCATGCAACCTTTAAACATAGGAAGCTGTGCTAAGAATTTGAGTCGGTGGTATTTTGACTTTAAACAATATCAATGCAGATTGTTTACGTATGGTGGCTGCATGGGGAATGCCAACAACTTCCTCAGCAAGGAAGATTGCAGGAGTGCTTGCCAGTTACTTGGTAAGACCTTTATCACTAGCAGTGGGAGGGCCTGGTTTAACTAGAAATGGTATATGAGTATGGTTTTAGACTCATCTTTGAGATTGATCTTCCTTGATTCAAGAGGTAGCTCTGTTAATTCACTGGTTGGGAGGTGTTGGGCTAGTGAGCTAGCTGCCTTTGTAAGTTTCAGTTTTCTTATCTATAATATGAGGATAATAACAGCATGTACTCAATAATAGATTTGTCATGACCAAAAAAAATGAGATCATATGGGAATCTTAAGGCAGGGAACTGAACGTTTAAATAAAAATGACTAGAAGGGGCCTCTGGGAGTCAGGCCAGGGATGGAAGTACCACTCTGGGATGCTTCCTTGGAATGTGGGGAGCCGGGGCGGGGAGAAGAGCCAGGGATATAAAACTTGATCCTTCCTTCTCCAGGTCATTTCACATTCATATGAGCTGATTTCCCTCCATAGCTTCTTCCATAATGCCTTTCCTCCACCCAGGCTCCCGTTCCCTACAAATAAGTAAACTCTGGCAAGATTTCCAAGGCTCTTCATTGCCTCCCAGTAACAGAGAGCAATGCCCAAGAGTCGCCTGATCCTTTTTTTCTCTTCTGAGCAAATGGGTGGCCCACTCTCTGCTTCTCAGGCCCATGACTGCCCCTGACTCGCACTCAGGAACTTTATTCTTCCAGAGCTTGCTTTTATGCCCTCTCCATCTACAATGTTTCTATCCTTAAAGCCACCGCTCCTACACAAAAAAAATGAGATAGTATGAATAAAGTATTAATGGCCAATGGGGCCAGCTGAGAACCAGGTTTACGCCCCTCGGTGGGTGGTATTCTTCACAACCTCAACTCTGTCCAGAGACTTCTGAGAGCCCACCCATGCATGACAATACACAGGCAAGCTCTGCAGTGCTGTGAAGGCGGTGGAAAGTAGGTGCGGTGAAGGTGAAAGGCTGTGTCCATTCTTCAGTGTAGTGCTGGGGGACAGTGTCCCTCCTGCTCCTGGGTTATTAAAATCCTCCTTTTCTAGCTTACTGTGTTTCTTCATCTCAGTTCCCTCCTCTGTAATGTTGGGATCATGGGAACCATCTTGCTGAATTGTTGACAGGATTCCACGTGATCAGAGACACCAAGGCTTGACAGGGTGGCTGTCCAGGGTGTGGGCTCACTAAATGGTAACCATGGTAATGGTGAACAGGGACCTTGAAAATGCAGCACTGTACCCTTCAAGATACCTGGGTACATTCACCTGGGTACATTGGATAGTATGACCAGATTCAGCCATCCTTTGCTCTTCATTCATCTGCACAACATTTAAATGTATTCTCACTCACCTATGGTGTCCCTGATACGGACTCCAGGTATATCAGAGAGAATGGAAAAGAAGTAAAACCACAGTAAGCATAAAAAGATAAAGCACTGCAAGAGGCTGTGGTAGGAGGATCACAAGTTGAGGGCCAGGGTGAGCTACATGGGGAGACCTTATCTCAAATAAAACAAAACAACAAAAACAAATCCTAAAGTAGGATTTAAGTTTTTTGATCAAGACTGGTGCTCTACCACTTGAACGTTAGCCCCATTTCTTCTGGATTTTTGGTGGTTAATTGGAGAGAAGAGTCTCATGGACTTACCTACCTAGGCTGGCTTTGAACTGCGATCCTCAGATCTCAACCTCCTGAGTAGCTAGGATGACAGGCATGTGCCACCAGTGCCAGGCTCAAATAAGGAAACAGAGTCAGACAGGTAAACTTCCTTGCTCAAGGACTCGTAGCAGGTCAGGGATAGAACTAGAATTTTAATCCCATAAATTTCTCTGAATAGCACCCAACTGGATGAAGCTAGTACTACTATAAGCTTCTATGTGTGGGAGGCTCTAAGGGATCATGATCCTGTGGCCAAGATGTCAGTCCTTCTTTTAAGGGCCAGCAGGAATAAGAGGCCATGGAGATGAGTTTGAGCTGGTTTGTGGGAAACTTCCGTAGGGACTAACCATTCCTTTGTGGTAGTGAACATGAAATCACTTAGCAAGTGACAGGAAGGACTAGGATTCCGTGCTGAGGCATCAGCAACAATATTTCAGGATGTGGTGAGATGTCTTGTTCTTCCATAGACCACTAGGAAGTGGACAAAGGGGATGCTGCATTCACAAAGATTAGCCTTGGCTGGATGCTGGTGGCTCATGCCTGTAATCCTAGCTTCCCAAGAGGCTGAGATCTGAGGATGGAGGTTCAGAACCAGCTCAGGTAGGAAAGTTCAAGAGACTCTTTTTTTTTTTTTTTCAGTCTGGTCGTGGGGCCTGAACTCTGGGCCTGGGCGCTGTCCCTCAACTCTTCAGCTCAAGGCTAGCGCTCTACCACCTGAGCCACAGCATCACTTCCAGCTTTTTTCTTTTTGCTTATGTGGTGCTGAGGAATGGAACCCAGGGCTTCAGGCATGCAAGGCAAGCGCTCTACCACTGAGCCACCTTCCCAGCCCCAAGAGACTTTTTAAAAAAATGTATATTTTTTATTGTAAAGGTACTGTACAGAGGGGTTATAATTACATGAATAAGGTCATGAGTAAGTACATTTCCTATCTAGAATTGTCAAGACTTGTATCTCCAATTAATCACACAAAAAAAGCTGGAAATGAAGCTGTGACTCAAGTGGTAGAGTGTTAGCCTTGAGTAGAAAAGCTTAGGGATAGTGCCTAGGCCCTGAGTTCAAGCACCAGGAGTAGCACACAAGAAAGAAAGAAAGTTAGACTGAAAGAAAGGAAGAAAAAAAGAAAGAAAGAAAGAAAGAAAGAAAGAAAGAAGAAAGAAAAGAATAAAGGAAGGAAGAAAGAAAGAAAAAAGGAAGAGAAAAGTTAGCTTTGAACAGGAAGTAAAAGTAGTTTCAAGGATGGAGGGATGAAGTGGGGGTTGCAGGAGTTCACGTCTGCTCTCATTTTAGTCAAGAAAGGACACTGCCCAATCTTCCCTCACGACTCGCGAATGGAGTGTCCACTCCCATGTAAGAATGACTTGGACTGCCTTGAGAAGGAGAAGTGTTGTGACTCCAAGTGTGGTTTTGTTTGTGCCAAGATCTGGAACGGTAAGGACTATGAGTATGACTCCAACACCCACTGGGTGTGTGCCAAGAATGCCATGACAGCCCATGGAATGTGGGGCGGGGGGCCCTGGGTGGTGGTGTTGTTATTGTTTGCCAATCCTGGAGCTTGAACTCCGGGCTTGGGCACTGTCCCTGAGCTTCTTTTGCTCAAGGCTAGCATGCTACCAACTTGAGCCACAGCCCCACTTCAGGCCTTTTCTGTAGGTGGTACTGAGGAATCGAACCCAGGGCTTCATGCATGCTAGGCAAGCACTCTGCCACTAAGCCACATTTCCAGCCCTGAGAATGTCTGTTTTTAAAGACAGGGTCTCTAGATGTAGCCCAGTCTGGCCTGGAATTTATGATCTTCATGCTTCAGTTTCCCAAGTGGTGGGATTATAGGTGTGAGCAACCACATCTGGTTAGATAGTGTCAGATGTCTCTTAAACTGACTGTTGACACAACTTGGGAACTTCAAATAGTTGTACAAGGGTGTTATAATTTAAGCTGTTCATTTCTGTGTGCACTGCTTCTCGGTCAGAGACACTCCTTCTATTATCCTCCCCCATCCCATCTGCCCTCCCCCCTTCCCACAGACTTATTTCACAGTTCCGACTTCGTTTATTGCATGTGTACGTTGAGTATTTGGACTGTATTTGTTCCTTGTCCCTTTTACATTCATCTGTTCCCCTCCAAGACTCTTCCCTATTCAAACTTGCTTCAACTTCTTGTATTCATTTTGTTAAACTGTCCATTAGGTGTTCAAAGGGTTAATCCATGGTACCACTCCTGCCCAGACTATAGTTAGCATAAATTGTGTGTGTGTGCATCTGTCCCTCAGTGTATTTACGTGGGAGGTTATATTTTGGGTCCAAAATCCATGTATGAAGGAAGATATGTATTTTTTTTGGACCTGGCTGACTTTACTCAGTATTATATTTTCCAGATCCATTCATTTCCTTGCAAATACTATTATTTCATTCTTTCTGATGGCTACATAAAATTCATATAGATATATATGTATATATGTATGTGTGCATGTGTGCAAGTATTGGGGCTTGAACTCAAGTCAGTGGCAATGTCCACTGATACCCCCCCACCCCCACACCCATTTTACCATTAGGTATATTCCTAATAATTCCTGTTCTGTAAGGTGCGCTAGGGAAAAGGCCAATAGTACATACTTTTGAGCTGGGTGTCAACTCTTTCTGTTTCTAAAGCAGAAGCTACAAACTTCTGTGTGTGGTGCAGGGGATTGTTACTGCTTTGAGGCACAGCATAGCATGGCGGAGAGAGGCAAAAGTTATCAACTGGCTTCAACTTGTATGTTTCTGTGTGGCTTTGGGCAATGCCCTTCCTCCAAGAGGCTCCTCCATTTCAACAGTTTATGAGACAAGGAAGTTCTAGATGCTGTCTGTATCCACTATTTCTTTGGGGGCAAGTGGGGACTCTTTTGAGACTTCATCATTCCAAAGGACAAGACCTCTTCTGTTGTTAACTATATCCTCCAAATTTGTGTCAAATGCGTCTTATTGTATCCCATCAAGTCAAACCAGGTTTTTGCCCACGTAAGCCGGCGGAGTGTAACAAGATTGATAAACCTAAGTGCCTGCAGGACAGCGACTGTCCACTCGAGGAGAAATGCTGCTCGCGTTGTGGCCTCAAGTGCTTTGAGCCTAAAAACTGAATGGTAAGTGGGAAATAGCAGCATCAAAATAATTAATTATGAGCAGCATAATTAAAAACTCTCGCTTTTTTTGTGTGCCTGCTGGTACTTGAACATAGGGCTTGAATTAGGGCCCGGATACTGTCCCCTGAGTTTTATTTTTCCACTCAAGGCTGGCACTCTACCACTTGAACTGCAGCTACACTTCTATCTTCTTGGTAGTTAATTGGAGATAAGAGCCTCACAGACTTTCCTGCCTGGGATCGCTTCAAAGCACAGTTCTCAGATCTCAGCCTAAATTGGAAGCCACTGGTATCCAGCTTTGAAACTATTACTTTTCAAAAATGTACACTACCAGGGCTATTAGCAGTTTGATTCTGATTTTGACATCTGTTACCCAAGCAATTGATTTATTTGCAGCTCAAGGCTAGCGCTCTACCACTAGAGCCACAGCGCCACTTCCGGCTTTTTTCTTTTTGCTTATGTGGTGCTGACGAATCGAACCCAGGGCCTCAGGCATGCAAGGCAAGCGCTCTACCACTGAGCCACCTTCCCAGCCCATCATCAAGAACTCTTGAATGTTGACAATGTAATTTTAATAGACTATTCTTCATCTTACACAGAGTAAAATAATGTAGACCACATTCTGAAGAAACCCCAGAAGTTATGAGAATAAGAATGCAGAAGATTCAGATGGACTACAACATCCATTATCTTGAACTGCCAGAGACAAAGATTTTGACCTGAAGGTTAACATTTGCAACCTCTGATTGATTACATGTATGACTTGTAAATAAAAAGAACCAGGAATTTGTTATGGAGGGAGGTAGGAAAGGATCGGTGAAGGGAGAAACTCTGTCAATGAGGGAAATATTACTAATATAAAAGGAGTTCTTATAGCAAAGACCACAGAGGTGAAAGACTTCTTAACTAAAGATGTGATCCACTCAAAGAAGAGCCCTTCTGATACCTCAGATAAATTGGCTGCTTGGGATCTGCTCATTAGACTGACGAGGGAGATTTATGAATGCCTCAGCAAACTTCAGATGATGGTATGCTTGGAGTTTCATCCTACCACACACATGAAGTTCTCAGAAGGAGGTCTCCTGTTTTTGCCTGGAGCTGGCAAGGATCACGATCCCCCTGTTTGCACTTCCTGTATGTCTGGAACAACTTATGTGTACTACCATTCTTCGTTTATTGGTTGAGAAGGGGATCTCTCTAACTTTTTGTCTAGACTGTACTTGAACTGTGTTCGTCCCAAAGTCTGCCTCCCAAGTAGCTGGGATTATAGACATGAGCCATAGTGCCCAGCCTATTGTTTTAAAAATACCCATCGAATCTGAAAATTATGCTAAATCCTACTCTTCTTTTTTATCCCTCAGTGACTTTTTAAAAACCATCTTCTACTATGTAGAAACTCTGGAATAAGAACGCAAGTAAAGACAACAAGGTCTGAGACAGAGTATGTGCCAGGCTCTGGGTGTAGTCATTAACACCAAACAAATAAACAGGCAAAGCCATGGCATTGATTATTGCATAATTCATTCTTCTAGTCAGTGGCTCCTGCCACCTGGACATTCCAGATTTTCACTGTCTACTGTGGAGTCTGGAAGAATATAGAAGTAGAATGAGACATTGGTTCACAGTCTATGCCCTAGTCTCTTTCTTCAATGAAAGTGTGAAATTGATGGGATAAGATTCCTGAGAAGGCTTTGTCTGTGATCTTAAATTTTGTGACCATGTAGTTGCTCACAAAAGGTTAAGACTGAGTTCATCTCATTTCTATCACGTGAGAGAATTTGGAGAGCATCAGTGATCACAATGGGGTAATACCTATTTAGAAAAGAAAAGGGAGAGGAGTCTACAGGAGTATGCATTTGTTTTTTGAAGAGTGTCTCTCCTTCTTACATGTATGGATTAAGTGTTTAAGGTTGCGGATTTGTAACCTTACAGTTCAAATTCTCCAGAACCCTCTTTCCAGTAGCTTCGTTAGACTCCAACAGTTACTTTACTTGGATCATTTGTCACTCAGGCAGGTGTTTTTTTTGTGTGTGTGTGTTTTAACTTCCTATTTTCTCCTCAAAGAAAGGAGTAGAGGCTCCCTGTAAACTCCAACATTCTGTCCTGCTCTCAAACGAACACCACTGTGACAAACACTCTCAGAAAATTCTGTTATTAGTCCAATTCTTCTCCAACACTCTGCTCTGTGACAACATCCTTATGATTTGGCCTGAGTCAAAGAATGAGTGATCCTCAGGGAAGACACAAGGTTAAATGTTGGGAAGAAACCATGGGAGAGAGAGAGAAAGGAACACAGAGATAATGGGAGACCTAGAGAAAAAAAAGAAAGGGAGAGAAAGCTAGTGATAAAAGGGACAGAAAGCTAAGCACAAAGAGGCACAAGAAACAGCTAAGAGTTCAATGGATACTTTGTTAGAGACAAATAGAAGCGAAGGCGCTCATTGTGTGTGTGTGTGTGTGTGTGTGTGTGTGTGAAAGACATTTCATATCTCCTCAGATTATCAAGATGAAGATCTGCAAGGGAACATGCTAGATAATGTGAGGCAGGCTTACTCACTTCCCCTGGTTGACCAGAGGGTCCAGACCAATGCAGTGCAGATCTCCAATAAGACACCCATCCCACCAGAGCTGTGGGCTGTAGATATCAGCAGTCCTATTTATGACCTCAAGAACTTGGTGTTCCCAGCATGAAAGGAGGTGGCTGGCTTTTGTCCAGTTCTCATATCCAAGGGAGCCAGATACTAGAGGAACAGGCAGTCAGACATTTTGGAATCACAAACCAGTTCGGACACTCTTTAGAATGGAATCATCTGGAATCCTGAGCATCTTTGTGCTACTCATCCTCTTTGCACAGGTTCAGGGGCCTGGTCTAAGTGATTGGCTCTTCCCCAGTAAGTATTGGGCCTCTACTCTTGCCTGGGAGGGAGGGAAGTTTGCTAGGAGGAAGAATTCAGGGACAATTTCTCAGATGTAGGTTGCATTCCTCCATATTAGCCTTGGCCATGGGTTAAGAGAGGAGGGAGATATTTAAGGAGGGAAGACCCCGTTTGTGGGAGATCTTTTCTGTGAATGCAGGAAACTAAGCCCGCGCAGTCTTCACTTTCATCTCCTTTAAAGTTGGGAATCATCCCTGGGGAGGTGGGAGGGGGGATAGACATGGAATGCAGCATTTATCAAAGAGTGTACGAGAATCTGAGAAGACTAAGGGGCTGTCCCTTTACCTCCCTCCACCAACCAACCAACCAACAAACAAAAACAACAACCCCCCCCCCAAAAAAAAAACCTCATTTTTGGAACACTGTCTCTATCTTCTGGTTCTTTTTAATGTATTCCTATAAAATATTCTTGCCTTTAGGTGAAATTTTTTGTTGTTTTTTTTGGGTCTGGTCATGGGGCCTGAACGCTGGGCCTGGGCGCTGTCCCTCAGTTCTTCAGCTCAAGGCTAGCACTCTACCACTTGAGCCATAGCCCCACTTCCGGCTTTTTTTTTTTCTGCTTATGTGGTGCTGAGGAATCGAACCCAGGGCCTCAAGCATACAAGGCAAGCGCTCTACCACTGAGCCACCTTCCCAGCCCTAGGTGAAATGTTTTTGACTTTGGAATCAAGGATAGAATCTAGAAGTCCCTTTAGATGTAAAGCATGTCTATATGATTACCATATAGACATGTTCCATGTCTATATGGTAATTATGATAACAGTTAGCTTTTCTGAACACTGAGGAAAAAAATAAGGATTTTTGAGTGAAGAACTCTGGAGTGGAACATGGCAGTGGAATCCTGGCAGCCACAAAACCTGAGGCAAATCATTTAAATTTCATGTGCTGTAGTTTCTTCATCTGTAAAGTAGAGATCTTACTAGGGTTTTCCTTTTAGAGCAGATGTAGAGATTAAAGGAGATGATGCACTTCAATGCTTAGAAGCCTGTGTAGCTAATGATAACTACTTGACAAATGTTAGGTAATACGATCATACTTTACATTCTATGTCTCATTTCTTCCTCACAACTCCATAAGAGCAAGGCAATTTTACAAATGAAAAAACCCAGTCTCAGACAGGATAAGTGGTAGAATTTTTTAAAAAGAAGAAGAAAAATGGGCTGGGAATGTGGCTTAGTGGTAGAGTGCTTGCCCAACATACATGAAGCCCTGGGTTCGATTCCTCAGTACCACATAAACAGAAAAAGCCAGAAGTGGGTCTGTGGTTCAAGTGGTAGAGTGTTAACCTTGAGCAAAAAGAAGAGCTCAGGGACGGTGCCCAGGCCCTGAGTTCAAGGTCCAGGATATACCCTGGGATGATAGAAATCACTGTATAATATTGGCCTCTCCCCTGCTGATTTTAGCAAGGTAGGAATGATCAGATCAGCTTGCATCAGTGGCTCTCAGTGAGGCAATTCTCCCTTCCCCTCCTGCTTGGAGCATTTGCAATGTCTGGAGTAGTGGGACACTGCTTCATGTCCCATAATGCTCAGGGAAGTCTTCATTCCAGCACAAATATCACCAGTGCTTGAGAAGTTCTGCCTCCGAATGGTGGGGGCAGGAGGGGTGGGACCAAGGGAGTTAGAGTGAGGGGTGACCAGCAGGTGTGTAGAGTGAACAGTGCTGGGAATGGCACAAGGAGGCCCTGAAAGAGAGGACTCCTAGGGATGAACAAAGTGAATATAATCTACCCAACTCCCCAGAGCTGGGCCTGGAGAAGGATGGGACTGTGTCCCCCATGGTTCATGTGTGTAAGACCTCTCTTCGGAGATGCTGATAAAAGACAAGTAGCTCTTTGAACCATTTTGGTAATTATTCTATAAGTCTAAAATTATCTCAAAATACAAGGTCAAAGAACAGTGTTTCCTCGAAGTCCCTTAAGTAGACTCTAGGAAACTTTGGTGTCTGGAAGGGGCACAAACATGAAATGTATTATGATATTGAAATTAGATATCATGATCTTTACAGAAATCCTTTTATCCTCTTACTGTACATTCTTCAAAGTACACTTATGCCTCAAAGTTAGTCAGTTAGTGGTCGGTGTCCCTTGTGTCTTGGAAGGTATTTATTTAGTATCTGGGGACAATTTATCACAAGTATACCTTCAGGTTGTTGATGTTTTGCTGCTTGTATTTATTAGTTTGCATTTTTGTTGTTATCTTTGTGTTATAGCATACATTCTTTTTACAACCATGCCCCAATAGCTTCAGAGATTTGTAGGGATATAAAATTTGAGACAGAAATGTTAATGAATTAGCTCAGAATTGCTAACACAAATGTAAACTGAGAAGAGTAATCCATTAAAAAGGAAAAAATTGCAAGAAGTGTGTACTATTGAAAAGCTGAGTTTAAATGACTTGTTGTATTAATATATTGTCCAACATGTAATTCTGTAAAGTATAGCAGCAAGAACAATGATGTTTTCTTTAACGAAATTTCCACAGAATGTTTCAGGACATATTTAGTAAGCTGAGGGTATGGATTAAAAAAATTATTACCACAGACTTTGTGTCCAGAAATCTTGACTAAATGCTAAAGAGATGTGTAAATTTGGAAAATAAATTAAATTCTAAATGTCTTAATTTGATCACCAATGAGGTGGGGGTAATGAAATACTTAAATCATAGCAGTAGTTGGGGCTGGGAAGGTGGCTCAGTGGTAGTGTGCTTACCTTGTATGCATGAGGCCCTGGGTCCTATTCTTCAGCACCACATAAGCAAAAAAGAAAAAAGCCGGAAGTGGCACTGTGGCTCAAGTGGTAGAGCACTAGCCTTGAGCTGAAGAGCTGAGGGACAGCGCCCAGGCCCAGAGTTCAGGCCTCACGACCGGACCCCCCCCCCAAAAAAAATCATAGCAGTAGTGAAGATTAAAATAAATAATACTTAGAATAAATATGAAAGCTTCAATAAGCATCTAACAAGAAGAGATATTGTTATTGCCACGGTATTATTGTGACATATTGGAAAAATTACCTGTAACAATGTGTATACATTTTTAAAAAAAACATGAAACTGAAAAAAAAGAAAAAAAAAATCTCTCTTTTCCTAGAGAAATGCCCCAGAGTCAGAGAGAACTGTGAATTCCAAGAAAGGGACATGTGTACTAAGGACAGGCAATGTCGGGACAACAAGAAGTGTTGCGTCTTCAGCTGTGGGAAAAAATGTTTGGATGTCCGACAAGGTAGTATTCAGTCCTGGAATAACCCCCTCCTCTACCCATGTCCTTCCTTTTTGGCCAACTGGAGTGGCGTTGTCCTTTAGTTCACAGAGGGCTGGTCTCTGGGCAAGATTTCTGGATTTGAAAGATCTGGGATTTAGATGCATTACTGTGGCTAATATGGTAGGTGACACTGGTTACGTTCTTATCCCATCTGATAATATCTAGGACTATTTCTAAAAAGAAAAAAATGACAGTAACAGGAATGGGATTGAATCAAATGGCTTATTGGCTATTTGTCACTCATGATTTTCTGAGTCACCAGGAAACCATTGTTGTCCTAACATACACCAACGTTGTTGCTGCAAGTGATACATGAAATCAATTTCCCCTAGCTTTGGCTCCTGGTTCATTGCCTCTCCACCTGTACAAATCCAACTTTTCTTTTTTTGGGGGGGGTGTGGTTAGTTGTGGGGCCTGAACTCTGGGCCTGGGCGCTGTCCCTCAGCTCTTCAGCTCAAGGCTAGCGCTCTACCACTTGAGCCTCAGCCCCACTTCAGGCTTTTTCTGCTTATGTGGTGCTGAGGACTTGAACCCAGGGCCTCATGCATGCAAGGCAAGCACTCTACCCCTGAGCCACCTTCCCAGCCCTGCAAATCCAACTTTTCATATTCATCGATTCTAGGAACTTTAGAATTTCTCCTCATTTATTCTATGGCCCATTCACCACTCAATAATGTGTTGTCAGGCCTCCTTATTTTTGATTATATCTTTTACTGTCAAGCCCTGGTTTTATTCCATTATCTGCTCTCATTCTGATGGGCTTCCTAGTCTATTGGGTATTCTAAAAGCCTCTTGTATAAGGATGGGCTTCTCTTTTTCAAGATTTGAGAAATTGGGGGTGGAGACGTGAATCAGTTGGTAGAACGCTAGCCAATGAGCAAAAGTGTCAGGAACTGAGTTTTATTCTTGGTTTCAGACCTAAAAAAAAAAAAAAAAAGACAAGATTTGAGACGTTTGCTTCCAAATATTTTCTATCTCTTCAGCAGTCACCTCCTCCCCTTCCTCTATGCCTATCATTCATGTATTTAATCTTTTTTTTTTTTTTAAATTTTATTTTATTTTATTTGAGAACATACTGTACAGAGGGATTACAATTACATGGGCAAGATAATGCATACATTTCTTACCAAGCATTGCAGCCTCCTCCTTTGTTTACCCTTCTCATGTATTTAATCTTTTAATAGAGGCCTAAAGTTCTTGAAAATTCCTTTCATGTTTCTCTGATCTTTCTGTATTTTCTTATTCTGTCTTCCATTTCATCTGCTTTGCTGGAGAGGGTTTTCACTGTATTCTTCATATTCAGGACTCCTGCTTCATCTTTTTTTGGAGCGGACTTCATTGTCTTTATTGATAGTAATTTTCATGTCTTGCATGGATTTCTTTATTTCATTTAGTTGTTTTGAAAATTGAAAAGTTGAACAGGTGCTGGTGGCTCATGTCTGTAATTCTAGCTACTCAGGAGGCTGAGATCTGAGGATCATGGTTCTAAGCCAGCCTGGGCAGGAAAGGCTATAAGACTCTTGTCTCCAATAAACTACTCAGAAAACCAGAAGTGGCTCTGTGGCTCAAGTGGTAGAGCGCTAGCCTTGAGCTGAAGAGCTGAGGGACAGTTCCCAAGCCCAGAGTTCAAGCCCCACTACTGACCAAAAAAAAAGAAAAAGAAAAAAGAAAATTGAAAAGTTGTCTCTTCAGAATCTTGTAGCTCCTTAGCTGTATTATCATTGATCTCAGTTAGCTATTCATTTACTTTTACTTAATAGCCATTGAGCTTTTGGAATTCTTTTTGAATTCACTCAAGTATTTTTTAGCATTGTCTTTTATTTCATTGAACTGTTTATAAATGTCCCCTTGCATTTTCTTGAGCGTTCTTATTCCTTTGAACTGAATTTGTGGGGTTTCCTCTACTTCATTGTTGTTTTAATCTTTTGTTGTGTGATGTCACTTTCTGTAAGGATTATATTTCCCTGATTTCTCACACTTCTTGTATTTCTATGCTGAGATTTACTCATCTCAAACCAAGATTTACAATTTTTGGTTAGAGATTTTATTTGACTGAAGTCTTTCTACTGGCTTCCTCTGTGTATTAGCTGGGTTGATATGTGATTTCTCACTGTGCCTCAGCCCTAACAAAGGCATCCAATTCAGTGCCCATCTAGATATTTACAGACTGTAAAATTCCCTTGATAACATAAGCTACACAACCAATTACACTGTATATTCAGGGGAGTTACATTTTTTATGGTATTCAAAGAGGCTAAAAGTATAAAAAACAATATGTGTAGGGGTTGTAACTAGGGTGTTAATAATAATTAGGGTGAAAGAAGAGATAAGGAAGAAAGAAGATGAAGAAAAGGGGAACCGCATGCATACAGAATATCCCTGTGTAGTTATATAATTCACTTGTGGAGAAGAGTGCAATCTGGAGACTTAGAATCTCAGTAACAAGACTGAAGATATAAGTAAATGATAAATGTACGTGTAAAGATCAGAAGCAAGGTAGGGAATGCAGGCTTGATGCAGGCAACTGTGATTGTATGGGACGTAGAATGGAGTTAGGGGGTACATCACAGAGGAGTTGAGAGAAGGAGAAGGGAGGAAGGAAGGAAGGAAGGAAGGAAGGAAGGAAGGAAGGAAGGAAGGAAGGAAGGAAGGAAGGAAGGAAAGAAGGAGGACAGAAAAAAGAAAGGAAGGAAGAACGAAGGAATGAAAAAAAGGAAGGAAGGAAGAAAGTAGGAAAGAAAGATATCATGTGGAACAATTCTATATTCAGGGATACAGATACACACTCTGTATGTATGTAACATATCCATGAAACTGGACTCACACAATGTGATAGAGGAAAGAATCTGCTTTCAGTTTTGGTCATGGTATTCATGTTTTCCAGGAAAAATAATAACATTTAAAAATATTTACTTTTACTAGGTAGTTGTACAAATGGGTTTCAACCCCAGAAGTCAGGTTAGGAGTACAATGCATCTTGCTCAGTGCACCCCCTCCATCTTTCCCCATCCCATCCCTACCCTCAAGTTACATAGCTCAATTTTTTACACAATGTGCATTGAATACAATGACTGCATCTGCTCACCCTTCCTTTCTCCCTTCCTGTGTCCTCACCCTCTTGTGGTCCCCACCAAAAAAGCATCTTTCAGCTTCCTAGTGCTTATTTTTATAAAATGATTTGTTAGTTGCAGTAACACTTTTTTTCCCCTTAGCTGAGTATTCTGAGTTCTTAACTTGGGTGAGGGTATCTTTCTACAGATGTGTGCCAACTTCCAAAGGACTCTGGCCCCTGCATGGCTTTATTTCATCGCTGGTGGTATAGTAATGAAAATAATACCTGCTACAGCTTCATCTATGGTGGTTGCCAGGGAAACAATAACAACTTCCAAACAAAAAACATCTGCCAGAATGCCTGCCAAAAAAAACGTGAGTCTCAGAGCCCTTGGCTCCTATTCTCTCACTATGGCCCTTTGGGTGTTGGCTGGCTTGTTCCAGAACAGAGCCAGCTCCAATCAGAAGCCCCAAAAATGTACCTTGCAGAAGACACACAGTGGTCTTCTGGGAATCAGGAATGGAAAGAGGGTGTGGAGAGGTAGGAATATGGGGAGAATTCGTAACGATAAAGGAGGTGGAATCTCAGAGACCCATCACAGAATAATCAGAATATCCAGCTTAGCACTGGACACATTGATCAACCAACCAAGTTGCCCACCAACTTCCTCATCTTTTCCTCATCTCTTTGTCAGCCATCCGATTTCATTACTTTCCCTTAAAAGGGTTAAACATCCACTTTAAACCTCTTTCTTTAAACTCTGTGTGTGTGTGTGTGTGTGTGTGTGTGTGTGTGTGTGTGTGAGCGCGCGAGCGTGCGTGCACATACAGGCCAGTCCTGGGACTTGAACTCAAGGCCTAGGGACTGTCCCTGAGCTCTTTTGCTCAAGGCTAACATTCTACCACTTGAACCATAGCCATGAGATAGGAGTCTCACAGACTTTCCTACCCAGGCTGGCTTTGAACTGTGACCCTCAGATCTCAACCTCCTGAGTAGCTAGGATTCCAGGACTTCCTTTTATCTTAAAAGGTGCATAAACATTTTTGGAAGTTGTGTAGCTTCAAGCTCCAAAGAGAAGCTGAGTTCAAGATGCGGTATCTTATACTTTCCCTGTCAACAGGTACCTGAATAGAGAAGCATTCACTGGAATAACCACCAGGGTTTGGCCCCCACTGTGGGCTCTGTCTATGCACTTGACTGATGCTCCAAGGTCTTAGCTCTTCCCAACAGAGGACTGAAGATCTGCCTCCATCCCCTCCATCTCTACCTCTTTCCATGCCTCATGCTTTCCATTGGGAAAACCTCACCCCTCCATCCCCAACTTCCAAGGCTTGCTGCTTAATCTCTGGGTAGAAACTAATTCTCAAAATAAAATGTTTGGTTTAATCCCGTGCCTTCTGTGTCTGAGTAATTCACATCCGTGGGGGATGTTATTCTTTGTAGAGAGTAAGTCTTCACTGAAGTTTCTGGTGACACCATTCAAGGGTTTGAGAGCCATGGGAACCTAGAGAGTGGAGAGTTCTCTTCAAAAAGTGGTGACCCTCTTAAAATGGAGACCCACAGGCATCACTTTAGTTTGGAAGCCACACAAATGAACTTTGGGCCTGGGTACAAGTAGCTTACTTGTAAGTTTTTCCAAGGAGCATAGATGTGGCGGGGGGGGGGGGGGGGGGGAGAGATTCAGGGAAAGGAGAGGAATTAACTATGAGTCAGGGACACCATATAAAACATGCCTCAAGTGTTGGGGAGGCTGAAGTATTGATCACTGAGTATTACTCCTCACCAGATGCCTGGGATATTAAATCTCTCGCTCTTCCAGATTGTTCCACACACAAGCTGAGCAAGCCCCTAGGAAGCCAGAGAAAACCCACTGTAGAGAAGCAGGTACGCTGCAAGTTGCTTATCCATAGTGAAAAGGATTCATTAATACACACTGCACTGAAAAACTGTGTGATTCTATTGATATAAAATATCTGACTAGATACATCTATACAGACAGAAAGTAGATTAATAGTTATGGATTAAGGGGGAAAAAAACCAGAGTGACTGCTCATGGGTAGGAGGCTTTAATTTGGAGTAAGAAAAATGTTTTTGAACTAATTGAAGTGAGGTGGCATACCATCATGAATAGATGAAAAAGAATCACTGAATGGTTCACCTACAAATGAACTTGTTTACTTTAATTAATTAATTAAGTTTTGCTTGTCCTGGGGCTTGAACTCTGAGCCTGAGCACTGTTCTTCAGCTTCTTGTTTTCAAGGCTAGCGCTCTACCACTTGAGCCACAGCACCACTTCTGGCTTTTTCTGAGTGGTTTATTGGAGATAAGATTCTCACAGATTTTCCTGCACAGGCTGGCTTTGAACTGCGATCCTCAGATCTCAGCCTCTTGAGTAGCTAGGATTATAGGTATAAGCCACCAGTGTCTGGCTTGTTTATTTTTATTTATGATTTATTTAAGTATTTGGGAGGATCACATGAAAATTCTACAGATGTATACAGTGAATTCTGAGCAAGTTCACCTTCTCTATTATACTCTCAATCTTCTCTTCCCCCCCAAGAAAAACAATATTCTGTGGTTTTGTTTATGCTGTCTTCATAATACCTATATGTAATATACTTTGAACATCTTTAGCCACCCCTAACCCTCCCCATTTCGCTTCCCCCTCCTGTTGATTCCACCACCCAACACTGCTCCTTTTACACTCAAGTCCCATTATTATTATTATTTTTAAAGATTTTATATCTAGGTCCTGTCAACACAGCAGCTACCAGTTTCATCCATTTTCCTGCAAATGGCATAGCTTCTTTCTTCTTTTCTTTCAGCAAGAACTTTACAGCAAGAACTTTGTTACTGCTGTAGGGATAACTTCATACTTTTGAATTATACTCCATGGTGTATATACACCACAAATTCTTTATACATTCATCTGTTACTGGGGTGATTCCACCATTTGGCTGTTGTGAACAATGATTCAATAAACAAAGGTGTATAAGCTGTGTGTTGGTGGCTCATGCCTATAATTCTAGCTACTCAGGAAGCAGAGGTCTGGGGATCAGAGTTCAAAGCCAGCTTGGGCAGGGAAGTCTATGAGATTCTTTTTTTTGGGGGGGGGGGTCTGGTTGTGGGGCCTGAACTCTAGGCCTGGGTGCTGTCCCTCAGCTCTTCAGCTCAAGGCTAGCACTCTACCACTTGAGCCACAGCGCTACTTCCGGCTTTTTCCTTTTTGCTTATGTGTGCTGAGGAATCGAACCCAGGGCCTCAGGCATGCAAGGCAAGCGCTCTACCACTGAGCCACCTTCCCAGCCCAGTCTTTGAGATTCTTATCTCCAATAAACTACTCAGAAAAAGCCAGAAGTGGTGCTGTGGCTCAAGTAGTAGAACACTATCCTTAAGCAAAAGAAACTCAGGGACAGAACCCAGGCCCTGAGTTCAAACCCCAGGAACAGCACAAAAAACAACAACAACAAAAGACCCAAACACATAGGAGTATTACTGTCTCTGTTGGTATTAATTTATATTCCTTTTTATATACCCAAGGAGTATAGCAGGCATGTCTACTTTTAGATTTTTGAAGAACCTCTGTGCTGATTTGCAATGTGATTATGCGAGTTTAAATTCTCTCCAAGTTCTCACTATGTATCCCAGGCTGGCTTTGAACTCTGTTTTTCCTGTCTCAACCACCTGAGTGCTAGATTACAGATATATGCCATCAAGAACTACAAAATTATTGCTTTAAGGTGATATAAGTTCTATCTCAACTTAAGAAAAATGGCTAAATAATAAAGAACTGTCTTGTGAAGTTGCTGGTGAAATCAAAGGTGAACTTAATGCGTTAGCAATAGCAGTTCCTACTACAGTCTAGCCCTCTCATTGCTCAGATTACAGTATATCCACAATCTACCCTCTACTATCGATATTTGTGGAAATATTCAGGAGCAATCAGTGGAGCATTCTTCAGCTCTGCTGCAGCAGCTAAAGCTGTTACTGATATTGCTACTCCTCTTCTGCACAGCTTATGTTAAATTGCACCTTGTGCAAGATCCTCTGCCCATTCTACTATTCTTTCCTGCTTTCAAAATAGTTTAACAGTGTCAGACGCTCTGAAGATTGAGTGCAGCCTGGAATCCATTTGTTCTCCTTCCCACCCTCGTCCCAACAATATCTTTACCCTGACAATAGGTAAAGAAAATGGATAGATGAAAGAAAATGGAGAGGAAGTAAAGAACAGAGAGAAAGAGGCACAGAAAAAAAGGAGGGAGGAATGGAAGGAGGGAGAGACAGACAGACAGACAGAGAGGGAGAGACAGAGAGACTTAGAAGGAATAGAAACCAGAAACAAGCATAAGATAAAAAACAAAAACAGGGGCTGGGAAGGTGGCTCAGTGGTAGAGCGCTTGCCTTGCATGTGTGAAGAGGCCCTGGGTTCGATTCCTCAGCACCACATAAGCAAAAAGAAAAAAACCAGAATTGGCGCTGTGGCTCAAGTGGTAGAGCGCTAGCCTGGAGAGCTGAGGGACAGCGCCCAGGCCCAGAGTTCAGGCCCCACGACCGGACCCCCAACAAAACAAAACACACACACACACACACACACACACACACACACACACACACACACACACAGAAGCCGGGCACCAGTTATTCACACCTGTAGTCTTAGCTACTCAGGAGGCTGAGAGCTGAAAATCATGGTTCAAAGACAGCCCAGCCATAAAAGTCCATGAAATTCTTATCTCCAATAAACAACTCAGAAAAAGCCAGAAGTGGTGCTGTGGCTCAAGTGGAAGAGTGCTAGCCTTGAGCTAGCTCAGAGACAGTGCCCAGGCCCTGAGTTCAAGTGCCGTGCCATGACTGACAAAAAAAAAAACCCAAAACAAAACAAAACAAAAAAATCATAAGGAGGTACAAAGAAGAAAAATAGTGAGAAACAGTCATGCTAGGAGAAGAGGGAAATAAAAAAGACGTGAACTAGGATACTCTTGTTTTCCAAACTGCCTCTGGGAAAAGGAAATCTCGAGTTGAGCAACCCTTCTGCTAAGCAATGTCCTGGTCAAGGGTCGACATGAGAAGCAGACAGCCTCAGCAGCTGAGGCCCAAGAGCAGCCGATCAAGAGCCCCTTCCCCAGGACCGGCACTGTGGATACCAGCTGGTTTCACCAATCGCCTTGGGGACTTGGTGTTCTCCGTGGAGGGAGAGTGGCTGGCTTGTGTCCAACCTCCTCTCCCTGCGTATCAGGCCAGGGTAGCCACAGCATAGAGGCAGGAGCTTCTGAACTATTACTCCTAGTTTTGATGCTATCAGTTAGGCCACTACTTCCTCAAATGGAACTCTTGGGACTTCTACCATTCATGGTACCATCCATCCTCTTGAGAGGTGTCAGAGACCCTGGGCTGGTTGAGGGATTCTTCTTAAGTAAGTACTGGGGACACAGGCCTGTCCAGGGAGAGGGACCTTGATGGGGAGGAGAGAATAAATGAAGAGTAGTTTCCACAGTTCAGCCTGGAACCCTGGGGCAGGAGAGAAGAGAGCTTTGGAAGCTGTATGTCAGTCCCTTTCCTCCTGGTAAGATGCTCCTGGTAAATGCAAGGAGCTAGATCTATGCCAACGGAGTCCTTATTGGCATTCCAAGGAGTTCTTCCAGGAGATGCTTGGATCTAGAGCCATGGAATCGATTCTGAGAGCTGACTAGTCAAAAAGGAGTCCCCTTAAGGGTGGATCTTTCCCTAGCACTACCCATATTGGTTCCTGTGTTCCCCACAGCCACTGAGGGCCCATGCCATCGTAGTAAAGAACTTTCCAGAAGTCCCTTGGAATGCTGAAATATGGAGACTGTACAATTGGCAACTAGAATATACTGGGCACTTTAAAAAGTCATGGTTAAGCCAGATGCCAGTGGCTCACCCTGTGATTCTGTTTACTCAGGAGACTGAGAGCTGAGAATCATGGTTCAAAGCCAGCTCAGGCAGGAAAGTCTCTGAGGCTCTTCAATTAACCACCAAAAAAATCCAGAAGTGGAGCTGTGGCTCAAGAGGTAGAGCTCTAGCCATGAGCATAAAAGCTCAGGGACAGTGCCCAGGACCAGAGTCCAGGACTGGCAACAAACCAATCAAGAGAGTACCTACCATACCAAAAATTTAACTGAACTCTAAAACCCAGACCTGATGTCAGAAAAGAAGATCTCAAACACCAAAGGGTACAAAACCTCCTGCCCAACACAGCAAGGACAACTTACCTGACCAGTCCTAGAAGATCACATCCTTTCCCCAGGAATTTGGCAGGCGATGGGGTGCAGGGCGGGTGTTAAGAGTTAGATGCTAAGTTGTTATGGGGCTGAGAGTGTTCCTAGTATGAGAACCCCTGAACTCTCTGAGGGCTAAAACACCTTCTGGGGTCTGGGTCTTGGAAGCAAGAGCAATGGTTTCTTCCAGGCCTCAGGGAGCACATTTCTCCTCCCTCAGGGTCATGTCCTCATATCAGAGTAAAGTGTGAAATCCAAGAACTGAACCAATGTCGGAAGAGCACCCAGTGCCCGGACAGAATGAAGTGTTGCTGGTTCAGCTGTGGAAAGAAATGTATAGACATCTCAGAAGGTGCCTCCCAGGTCCCCGGAGCCAGGGGATGCCCTCTTCCCTGCCCCTTCTGCAGTCCTACCCCTCCTCCTGGATCACGGAGATGTGGCTGTAGCTCCTTTTGCCTGTTTGCCTCCGTCACACTAGCAGTGTGGGTTTTCTTTTTCTTTCTGGATCTTGGCATTCCTTCCCATAGACTGGTGTGGAAGCTGGACCACAGAGTTGCCTGGCCCTTTCTTCAGTGATTGTCTGCAATTAAAGTCCAGTAGCCACTTAAATTCTACCTGATGCGAGCATCATTCCCACGCATATATAGCTGTTAGAGTCAGAATGTGTGCTGTAAATATAAAATAGACCAAATGTAAAATAATATACTATATAAGACAAGATATATTAAATATAATCATATTATAGATCACATCATATAATAATCGCATGCCAGTACAATAATCATTTATAATATAATAATCATATCACATTTATTGTATATGACCAAAAGAGCAGAAGACAGAGCAAGCGGGTAGGGTGAATGTCCTCCAGGGAGACAGACATCCAAATGGTTCTGCTCTGTGATCTTCCTAGATGTATGCAGTATGCCAAAGAAAATTGGCCCTTGCTTGGCCTACCTTCCGCGCTGGTGGTATAATAAAGAAACTGAGCTCTGCACCAAGTTCATCTATGGCGGTTGCCAAGGGAACCTTAACAATTTCCAGTCCCAAGCTGTCTGCTCTGTCACCTGCAAAAGAAAACGTAAGTTCCATGAGGTCTCAGACACCCATGTTCACCAGGCCTACATTGAGAGATCTAAGAATTGGTTTATTTCAAGACCTTGGTTGCTCTGGGGCTGACAGAAGTAGCACAAATTACGAGATAAGGTTGTTCCTTGCCAGGCGCCGGTGGCTCACGCCTGTGATACTAGCTACTCAGGAGGCTGAGATCTGAGGATCATGGTTCGAAGCCAGCCGGGGCAGAAAAGTCCATGAGACTCTTATCTCCAATAAACCACAAGAAAACCGGAAGTGCCTCTGTGGCTCAAGCGGTAGAGCGCTTGCCTTGAGCTGAAGAGCGTAAGGACAGCGCCCAATCCCAGAGTTCAAGCCCCACGACCGACCAAAAAAACAAAAAAAGAATGTACCTTGTGGGGTTGGAGGCATGGCTCAGTTGGTAGAGCACTGGCCAATGAGCAAAGTCATCAGGCAGATAGGTACTGAGTTTGAGTCCGTGTCTTGGATCTAAAAAAGAAAAAAGAAAAAGGAAAGAATGTACCTTGTGCTGGTGTCAGTAGGAGGGCCTCTGGGGAAAGAGAGGACAGGAAAGGACATAGAGGAAGGAAAATTGGCAAGTGTCAGTGCAGAGAGAAGACAGTGGAGTTTCCCAGATCAAACCAGTAGGGGGCCCTGCACTGACACCGTTCACCTGCCTTCTTGACAGGCTTTTTTTTACTTCTCACCCAGACTTTGAAAGGTCACTTAAAGCCAGGGAAGCCACATACTTAACTGGCCAAATCAAGACAATTACGAGAGTTAAAAGGGTGTGACTGTTTATTAAGCTGGAGCAACAGGTATCAACTGGGACTATACTGGACAAAATAGAATGTGCAATGTCCTTGTGAGGTTTTCACTTCCTCCCAAAGATGTCAAAATGCTTTCAGCTCTCTTCTGCATTAACTTGTGAATTTGGTTCCTTAAGTGTTTCAACCCTTATTTTGCTCTCTTACAGATGCGACTTCCTGGATAGGGTAAAGCAGAGATGGAACAAACCATAGGATTGGCTCATACTCCAGAACTCTCTCCATGTGTGCTCAACTGAGGCTTCCTATTGGCTTTCACTGGCCAGACTTCAGCCAATTAAAACTTCGGTATTTAAAAAAAATATACGCAGAATTTTCTTCCTTTCCTCCAATTAAGCTTCTCTTCAATCATGTTTGCACTTCACCCTTTGACCCCCTTAATCAGGATCCCCATTTATTTCTATAAAACTTTCTGTAAGACTCAAATGAAGTGCTCTGTGAGGTCTGCTATCTGAATAATTTCCATCTACAACATGCAGAAAGACACATATATTCACATCTCCCTATATGCTGGTTATAGAGAACAAGAAGTGTTTAGGCTTCTCCATACTGACAAAAGAAAGAGAGAAGAATGTGAACATTCTAACGCTTGAGAACTATGGTGATACTGCGCCCTGGCAGCATTGTCAAAAGATGTTAAAAATGCAGCCAGAACAGATCAGACTTTGCATGAGCTAAACCTTCAAAAAATTATAGGCTTCTTGAAAACCTCAGTGCGAATGAAATGCCAAACAGAAATTTACAACCAACTGCAAACTTTTTTTCTTTAGCATTTCTTTATTTAACATTTATTATTATTATTATCTTTAGTTATACAAAGAAGTTCCCCTTCTACAAAACACCAACTGCAAACTTTTAAAAGTAGACAAATACCACAAAATCCACAGAAATTATTATTAATTAGTGTGTTGCATTCATTATATCAATTCTGTAAGGATTGTGTGTGTGTGTATGTGTATGAGAGAGGGAGAGAGACAGAGAAAAAGAAAGAGAGGGAGACAGACAGAGACAGAGAGAGGGAGAAACAGAGAGAAAACTGGGGCTTGAACTCAGAGCCTGGTGCTCTTAGCTGGCTTTTTCACTAAAGAATGGCTCTACTTCTGGCTTTTTGTTGGTTAATTGGAGATAAAATTCTCATAGCACTGGGAAGGGGGCTCAGTGGTAAAGCGCTTGCCTTGCGTGCTTGAGGCCCTGGGTTCGATTCCTCAGCACCCATAAGCAAAAAAAAACAATCCAGAAGTGGTGCTGTGGCTCAAGTGGTAGAGCGCTAGCCTTGAGCTGAAGAGTTGAGGGGTAGCGCCCAGCCTCAGAATTCAGGCCCACGACCGGACCCAAAATAAAATTCTCATAGCTTTTCTGCCTGAACTGGCTTCAAACCTCAAGCCTCAGATATCATCTTCCTGAGTAGCTAGGGTTACAGGTGTGAACCACCAGCTCCTGACTTAATTTTTATGCAAAGAATAGAAGGATAGTTTAGTTTTTCATGTAACCTTACTCATTAAACCCTGAGTAAAATTTGATTTTGTTTATAGTTAGGGTGCGTAAAAGATATACCCACAAGCAAAGCCATCCTTGATGTTTGAAGTTCTGTTTATAGGTCTGTGCCCTCGAACCACAAGAATGATAAAAAAAAATCTTTTATATAATTCTGTCTAAAAGAAAATATTCCTCATGCGTGTAAAACAGCAAATATTGAGTTATTAATGATATTCTTATGCCCTGGCAAGAAATGAGATCCTATCTGAAACATAACCAGCAAAAGTCTGGGCTGGAGGCATGGTTCACTGGTAAGGGAGGTTGCCTAGAAAGCATGAGTTAAAAATCTTAGTTTCGACATAACGACTTGTACATCTCATTGTTGCAATGGGTCCATCTGTATCCCTATTTAAACCACTTGTTTTCTTCCCTTCCCCTCCACAAATTATATCAATATCAACTACAGTGAAAGCAGGGGTTATATCATGGGGAGGTGGGTGGGGGGTAGGGGGTTGGGGGGGGGGGGAGATGGGAAGAGATGGGAAGGGGAAACAAAGGAGGAGGCAACAATGCTTGATAAGAAATGTACTCATTACCCTGCCCCTGTAATTGTAACCCCTCTGTACGGTATTTTCACAATAAAAAAATAATAATAATAAAGAGAGAAAAAAAGAACCTTTGGGATCTTTGAAGACAAAAAAATCTCAATTCCACTGAAAGAAAATATAACATAGACAAACAATGTAATACCTTTTAAGAGAGGGAAATCATGTGATTTGCTACCTTAGGGATGAATCCAAAGAACGTTATGTTAAATAAAATAAGCAGAACACAGAAAGAAAAATGTACATGCTCATATGACATATGGTAGAATAATCAAACTTAGAGAAGCAGAACCAAGTGGTGATTTCTAGGAAGATGCTGTTCAAAGCATATGAAGGTCTAGTTTGAGTTATGCCAGATGAATGGGCTCTGGATACTAAAATTCTGAATGATTACACGTTAAACTGTGCCAAATGCCTTAGGAACAACTTGATTGATGTGTGGCACAGGTATATGTAAAGCTGCTTTGAACAATCACTACGTCTTTTAGCACCAATGAAACTTAGAAAGGTGAAACATATCTTGTTTGGGGAGTGGGTACTAGTGGGTAGGCAAAGGATGAATGGGGAAGATGAAGAGGTAAATATGGTCAAATTACTTTATGTACATGTCTGAAATGGAACAATGGAGCTGTTGAGGAAGAGGGGTGAGTCTGATCAAGGAACATTGTATGCATATATGGACATGTCCAAAGAAACATCTTGGTATAACTAACTGATGCTAATAAACTATGTTTGTTGTTGTTGGTCCTAGGGCTTGAACTTAGGGCCTAAGCACTGTCCCTGAGCTTTTGTGCCCAAAGCTAGTGCTTTACTGTTTTGAGCCACAGCACCACTTCTGGTTTTCTGGTGGTTAATTGGAGATAAGAGTCTCACAGACTTTCCTGCCTGGGCTGGCTTTGAACCGTGATTCTCACCTCTCAGTAGCTAGGATTACAGGTGTGAGCTACCAGCACCTGGCTCTAATAAACTTTTAAAAAGAAGTAGTTTGCCATCTGTTTCTGGTGTAGAAAAGATTGAGGGGAGACAGAAGCCTTAAAAGGAGGAGCAGGGCAGGAAACCACTGTAAAATATCTACCTCACTAAGTTGTTCCTGTATGTGACATTTGCTTACATTGGTTTTTCCTTGCTTCTGTATCTCTGTGGGTCAGTCTATTATCTTTTTTTTTTTTGGGGGGGGGGGTCTGGTTGTGGGGCCTGAACTCTGGGCCTGGGCGCTGTCCCTCAGCTCTTCAGCTCAAGGCTAGTGCTCTACCTCTTGAGCCACAGCGCCACTTCCGGCTTTTTTCTTTTTGCTTATGTGGTGCTGAGGAATCGAACCCATGGCCTCATGCATGCAAGGCAAGCACTCTACCACTGAGCCACCTTCCCAGACCCCAGTCTATTATCTTGAGCAGCAGCTTGTTCTAGTTTTGCGCATCCTGTATGACTCAGACTAAATTACCCAGAAGCCGTCAGTGGCCTGCATCCTGTTGAAGGAATAAGGTATGAGGAGACTCAAATTTGAATCAACTTTGACCCTCGTTGAATGAATGCCCTACATGGGACAGGATAGGGTGGAGAGATTTTCCTCTCAGAATTTCTTTCTCATCAGTGATGAACTAATGATGTCTTTGTGCATTAAAGAGAATATGACAGTATAGAGACCCTGTCAAATCTAATAAATACCCAGTGCTCACGAATCCTTTTGATATACTTCGGTCGCTGATTGGAGTTGGCATTCGTGTATGACTAGAACAAATCGCTCTGTTCCAGAAGTCTAGGGACCAACAAGGCCTGAGATGGCCAGAGGGTGCCCTGTGGCTGATATCATCTGCTTACCTATTCTGCTCAGAAATGAACTCAGAGCTAAGCACCAGGAACTTTCGCCTTGCAGGCACTCAGAGGAAGCTGATGACCCTGTATCTTGTTAGGACCAATGGTTTGCTCATTAATCTGCCTATTGGATGCTAGAAGACACCTCAAGTGGAATCTTCAGGTGTTACTGAGATGTTATCTAGGCCCAGGACTCCTCTTTTCCCTCTTGTCCTATTCTCCCTCCTTGGAATTGTCTCTAGAATTGTAAAAGTTGAGGAGAAGCTGGTATGGTTTGGAAGCACAGAGAGTGTCTGATCCCTACCCCTAATCCTCTATCTTTTTGTCTATATTGAACAAAGGGAAACTTTGCACCTCAACAGCAAAACCAGAGCTAAGACTCAGGTAAGAAAAGAGATGGCTGAAGTTGCCAGATCCTACAAACTCCTGACAATCAGGGTAGATTGAGTGACTATTTTTCATTTGGGGATTTTTTTAATATTCAGTATCTACATTTGCATGTATTACATTTGACAAATATTGCTACATTTGAACATTACATTTTCCCAGTTGAAGAATTCCCTACCAGGGGAGTCTTGGAAGGAGGTGAGACCCTGCTCCAGTATCAGAGCTGATCAGGGTCTTGTTCTGTATTAGACAGGTGCAGTAAGAATACAGAAACCATATTGGGCATTCCAAACAGAGATGATGTAACACTAAGAATTAATTATTGGTGACCTGGGATTAAAAAGGAGAACACGCTGAGACATCGATCACTGATAGGTTTGGGAGGAGATAACGTTATTATTAAGACAAGGGGTTGGCCGCTGAGTCAACTTTTTGGGGAACAGAGAGATGGAAGCTGTGTTGCAGGGCTGACTCAGTCTTCTAGAAGTATGCTACTGTTGGTGTCGGACCCCCAGAGGCTCCGATGGTATTTGGAGCACTAGGTGGGAAGGTATAGCTAGCTGATGCTAGTACTTCTGGGAAGCTTTAGTGCTGTTGGGTCAGAGAGGAATCATTTTACTACTTCTAGGCACATGCTGACCGAAAGCCAGAAATGGAAAAGAAAACTTTCTCCACTTATTTCCCCGAATACAGCCAGACGCAAACTGGCTTGGAAGAGTAAAGGGAAACTGCTTAGGCACAATCTCATTCTCAGCATTGCAGAAGTCTGTCAAAGGATGAGTTTGGGGTTGGGTGACAGAAGCTAAACTAATGAGCACATTTGCTTTCCCAACCTCTCTTGCAGCTAAGAAGTGGGGGTTCAACTTAAGTGGCCAATCAGATATGCTCACCTCAGACTGTGTTATAGTTTGAATCTAAAATGTTCCCTAAAAGTTCAGGTATTAAAGGCTTGTTTGGGAGAAGTCATAGGATCATGATGGTATGTCTTCCTAACTTGATGGCATTAGTGGGAAATGAGGGAGATTAGGAGGTAGGACATGATTGGAGTAAGTAGGCCACCA